TGGGGCTCAGGCAGGGCTTGGGCACCCCGAGGAGTACCTGGGGGTTGGTGCACCGAAGAGGGAGGAGCACCTCAAGGTGCAGGGCAGAGGTTAGGGGCAGCCACACCTCTACAACGAGCCCCTTGATTCCAAAAATCCATGTGTTGCTCTTGGCCAGGCTGCAGTAACAGGAGCCAAGAGCAACAGTTTTACATATTAAAGGAAAATGAAATTAAAATATATTTATTTGTGCCCTCTTCCCCCCCAACCTTTCATAGTCCAGGTGGAGGGCACCCATGGGGGGTAGCCAGGAAGTTGGGGCTAGGATCCCGGGTCTCATCCAGCCCCTGCCTGTGCCCACCACCCATCCAGAACCCTCACTGGGCAGCCAGGGCTGGGTCAGAGACATTTCAGGTTTTCCAGGTGATGCTTCCCAGCTTTCCTTCGCAATCAATTTCTTGAAGGAAAGCCTTAGTGGCCACAGTTATATTTGGGGTGTCCTGGAGTGATGGCAGTGATTGCCTTGCGTCCCTCACCTCACACAGGACACATGCCCTGGGTCTGGGGGTTGGAGAGATGAAGGACCAAGGAAAAGGTCCCAGCACACTGCAGGTACCACCTCCATCCCCATCACTTTGCTGCTCAGCCATGTGTGACAATTTGTCCCCAGAGCTGCACCACAGCACAAACTACCCCCAAACAGCCATTTGTTAGAGTATGAAGCCCCCCTGAAGCTTTGTGTCGCTAGGCACACAGGACAGTGATTTCTGAAACACCCCAGAGCTGGTGGCCAAGGTGAAAAACATCCCAAAATCCCAAATAATCCCAAATATCCCCCAATAATCCTTTTCACAGGGCCCCGGAGCCAATTGTGGAGACACCCCATGTTAGAGGGAAATTCCGGGGTGACGCCTTATCTCGTGCTCCGTTACATGGTTGATAAGCAGCTCCCATGGAATTTCCCTATAGTGCCGGATCCAGGATGTTTGGATCCTGCACAGTGGGTGTCAGTGATTAGGAGCCGCGCTGACAGGTTGTTATGCTGTTACTAAAGAAATCGCAGGGCTGTGGGAATGCCTAGGAATGGCTGGATGCCCGGACCCCCTGGCGCCAGCCAGGCACTGGATGCCAGATGTCCTGCAGGACACTGCAGGGACCCTGCTGGAATCACCCCAGGGTGGACAAGCTGCTCCAAAAGGGGTGCTGGAGATGGCACAGAGCAACCCAGGCTGACCTGGGATCAGCAGCTCGTAGGAGTGGGGGCTGCTGATTGCACCTTGTGATGGTGGCCTGGGCAGCACAGCCTGTCCACAGGGGTGCTGCCACCCCCAGAGTGTAGCACCTCCCTGTGCCTTGGATGTAATTGGTCACCCTATGAGTGTGACATTGGACTTTGGGGTCTGGCAGCCCCGGCTTGACCACCCTGACTTACGTCACCTCCCAGGAGCTGCCCTGGCCTTACAGTGATATTGCTGTCCTCTGCCCTGTGCCTGTCCTGAATTGTTGTTCAGCCAGGGACACGGCTTCCCTGGCCTGTGCTGTGGGCACTGGAGCTGAGCCATTTCCCGGAGTCTCCACTGTCTTACCCTGTGCTCAGCCCCAGGGGCATAGGCACCATGTGCCACGCACTGTGAGTTCCCCTGTTCTCACCCGCAGCACCAAAGCAGCAGTCTGTGTTCCCAAACTGAGGGATGTCACCCTGCGGGGAGAGGATCCCTCCCCCAAGGCCAACAAGCCGTGGGGTGTGCCCGGGTGTGCTCAGCCGCGCACGCACACCCTGCTGGCACACGGGGGGCCTGGCAGCACTCGGCGGGTCTGGGCAGCCGTGAGGTCATGTGTGATCCTGTGCCCAGGTGTATGTGTGCATACATGTGCCAGTGCACACCCCTGTGCGGGGCCTGGCTGGCAGTGTGTGGATGTGCATGTGTGTCTGTCTGTGAGTATATGTGCACGTGTATGTTAGTGTATGTGTATGCTTTTAGGTGTGCATGTGTGTGTGCGTGTGTGTGTGCATGTGTTAGCCTGTTTGTGCTTGTCTACATGTGCGTGGGCATGTGCATGTGAGTGTATGTGTGTACACATGGACATGCACACGGTATGGGCACGTTTGTTAATGCGTGTGTGCGTGTGCACATTAGTGTGCAGCTATGTCTGTGTGTGTTAGTGCATGTTAACATGTGCATGTGTGTGTGTTTTAGCGTGTGATAATGTGTGGTAGTGTGTGTGGGCCTGTGCACGTTAGGGTGTGCACATGCGTGTGGAAGATGTGTGAAAGGGTGTGCGTGTCTGTCAGTGTGCATGTTACCTGTGTATGTGCACAGGGACACGTGCTCATTAGTGTGTGCGAGAGCGCGCACGTGTGTATCTGTGTATCTATACCTGTGTAAATGTTCTGTTTGTGCACGTTTGCGTGTCTGTAAGTGCGCTGTGTGACTGCGCTTCCCCCTCCCGCGTGTCCCCAGCGCCGGGGAGCTCCAGGACTGTGCGCGGACCTCGCTGCCAGTTCCCGGCGTGGGTCCCGCCCCCCGCCCCTCCCCGTCCCGTCCGGCCCCCTCCCAGACACGCCCGGCGGGGCGGGGAGGGGCGGGAGCGCTTGGCGGGTGCTGCCGGTGTCGGCGGGCGCGGGGCGGCGCGGGGCGCTCGGCGGGGCCGCCGCCGCATGGCGCGGGCCGGGGCCGGGGCCGGGAGCTGCCCCGGCGCGGCGCCTCCAGCACCGCAGCGATCGGCCCCGTGGCGGCGGGGGCAGCGTGGCCGGGCGATGGCGGAGCTGTAGCAGCCGCGGGGCCGGTGCGGGCGGCGGGCGATGGCGGCGGCACGGCTGCGGGTGGCCCTGTGGGTGCTGTGGCATTTTGGAGTGGGCGGTCGCGGGTTGGAGCTGGCGGGACTGGAGGGCCCGCGGGGGCGCGCGGCGCGGTGCCAGCCTGTGGACATCCCGATGTGCCGGGGGATCGGGTACAACCTGACCCGCATGCCCAACCTGCTGGGGCACGAAAGCCAGCGTGAGGCCGCCCTGAAGCTGCACGAGTTCGCCCCGCTGGTGGAGTACGGCTGCCACGTTCACCTGCGCTTCTTCCTCTGCTCCCTCTACGCACCCATGTGCACCGATCAGGTGAGCGCCAGCATCCCTGCCTGCCGCCCCATGTGTGAGCAGGCCCGCCACAAGTGTGTACCCATCATGGAACAGTTCAATTTCGGCTGGCCTGAGTCACTTGACTGTGGCAGGTTGCCCACCAAGAATGACCCCAATGCCCTCTGCATGGAGGCCCCTGAAAATGCCTCAGCTGCTGAGCCGCACAAGGGACAGGGGATGCTGCCTGTGGCCCCCCGGCCTTGGCCACCTGGTACCGCTACTGAGGGACGGGGACCCAATGGGCTGGGAGCTTGCAACAATCCTGAGAAGTTCCAGTACGTGGAGAAGAGCCTCTCGTGTGCACCCAGGTGCTCCCCTGGGGTGGACGTGTACTGGTCCCGGGAGGACAAGGACTTTGCCTTCATTTGGATGGCTGTCTGGTCTACCCTCTGCTTCGTCTCCACTGCCTTCACCGTCCTTACTTTTCTGCTTGACCCCCACCGCTTCCAGTATCCTGAGAGGCCCATCATTTTCCTCTCCATGTGCTACAACGTCTACTCTGTGGCCTTCATCATCCGCTCTGTGGCCGGGGCTGAGAACATTGCCTGTGACCGGGAGAACGGTGAGCTCTACATCATACAGGAGGGGCTGGAGAGCACAGGCTGCACCATTGTCTTCCTCATCCTCTACTATTTTGGCATGGCTAGCTCTCTCTGGTGGGTTGTCCTCACCCTCACCTGGTTCCTGGCTGCTGGGAAGAAGTGGGGACATGAGGCCATCGAGGCCCACAGCAGCTACTTCCACATGGCTGCCTGGGGCATCCCAGCCATGAAGACCATTGTCATCCTCACCATGCGGAAGGTGGCAGGGGATGAGCTCACGGGGCTGTGCTATGTGGGGAGCATGGACGTCAGTGCCCTGACTGGCTTTATCCTCATCCCCCTCTCCTGCTACCTGGTCATTGGCACCTCCTTCATCCTCACTGGCTTCGTTGCCCTCTTCCACATCCGGAAGATCATGAAGACGGGTGGCACCAACACAGAGAAGCTGGAGAAGCTGATGGTGAAGATTGGGGTCTTCTCCATCCTCTACACCGTCCCGGCCACCTGTGTCATTGTCTGCTACTTCTACGAGCGGCTGAATGTGGATTACTGGATGCTGCGGGCACTGGAGCATGGCTGCCTACACCTGCCTGGCCGCCGTGCCACCGACTGCTCCCTTGAGGCCTCGGTGCCCACTGTGGCTGTCTTCATGCTAAAGATTTTCATGTCACTGGTGGTGGGCATCACCAGCGGGGTGTGGGTGTGGAGCTCTAAAACACTGCAGACCTGGCAGAGCCTGTGCAACAGGCGGCTGGGCATGAGGACGCGGAGCAAGCCCTGCAGTGGGGTCAGCTGTGGCGGGGGACACTGCCACTACAAAGCCCCCACAGTCATGCTGCACATGACCAAGACGGACCCGTACCTGGACAACCCGACTCACGTCTAGAGACGGGGGCTGCCCCCCACACTGGAAGAAGTGGCCTCACGGGTAAGGGGCAAGGGCAAGGGCTGTGTGCAGCAGGAGGGACACTCCCAGGTTTAGGGGGGCAAGGTTGTAGGATCCCCCAGCACCACTCACTGACAAGTAGCCGCTTTTTCCTAGAGGATGTTTTGTTTTTGCTGTTGCCAAATCCAGTGACTCCTTCTAACGCTTTCTTTGGGGGATGGTGGGGAAGGGACAGGGAGAGGAATAATCCATTCGTGTTTATTTAATTCTGTAATTTATTTTAAATTTTTTTTGATCGTTAGCTGCAAGGAATGGAAAAAACAATAAACCCTGGATGTGTTATTTGATCCAAGCTTGGTGCTGTTTGCAGGGATTCCAGGGGATCAAGAGCTCCCCCATGGGACCCCACCCCAGTTTGGGGGCTTTCATGTCAGGCCAGGCCATGCCAGGCCATGCCACCACAGGAGTGCCTCTGTCGCTGGCAAGAGTGTGGTACCAGCAGGTACCACCATCCAGTTCCCCTCCGTGGCTTCCCTGGGGCCGGTTCTGCCCCCTGGCAAGGAGGAGAAGGAAGAGGAGGAGGGTTTTCCTATGCTATGACACGAATCATCTTTTCCACTCCATGCTCTGAAGGTGATTAGTGTCGGTGCCATCGGCTGCTGGAGCCTCGGTGCTAGGCTGAGGAGCTTTGAGGGAGCAGGCCGGGAGCCAGGGAGATGGGCTGGGGACACAGGACCTTGGGGCAGAGAGGGCTCAGCTTTGATGTCCCCCCACAGAAGCCTGAGGTGCGGGTAATGGAAACTTCTGGGCAGCTTTATTTATCTCCCGCTCTGGTTACAATCCCAGCTCGCCTTCCCCATTGTCCGCAGGGAAATTCAAGCTTCAGCTGGTGCTGGTGAAGCTGGCAGGAGGAGCCAGGGCTGTTGGGCACAGGGTGGGCAGGAGTGTGGCTCTGCAGGGGCTCAGAGCGGGGGAAGTGCCTACCCCCCTGAGACATCCTGAGGGGCTGGCAGGGGCCAGCTCATCTCTCTAGGGGTTTGGTGGAGCTGTTTTGCCTGGCTGTCCCCAGGGATGTGCCAGGGGTTCCCAGTGCTAGGGAAGAGAAGTGGGTGGGGGGCTGTGGCAGGGGCATAGGCAGCACAGCACCTGGGGCAAGCAGGATCTGTAGGGGCAACACAGCTCTAGTGATGCTTAGACTTGTCCATCATCTAATTAGCCAGCCTGCAGGCTGGGCAGATCTGGACTCCAGGGAGGGTCAACCCTTGTCCAGGGAGCAACAATCCCGCAATGGACCCTCTCTCCAGCACTCAACCTGGCATCCACTGCTCACCCCAGCAGCCCTTGGTCCCCATTTGATGAAGCCTTCCCGGTTCAGATTGTCAAACTGTGGCTGGAGGACAGGGGCAAGACTCCCCACTATGGCTGGTGTGGGGGCAAGGGCTGGGGTCGGGATCCCTCACTCACCATCGAGTTGTGCCAGGGCTTTGTGCTGCTGTGATGCTGGGATCGGTGAAGCACCTTTAATCTGTTCCCTGCCACCCCTGGGATGCCAGGAAGGCAGGAGAAGTTGGGTCACTGAGCTGAGAAAAGCTTTTTCCTCCCCCAGGAGCTGGTGTGGTAGACAAGGTGTGAAGGAGCCCCCAGTACCCATGTGGTGTCGCTGGGGAGACACTGAGGCTCTCAACAGATTTGGGTACCCCTGGCTGTGCTGGTGGGCATCCAGGCTGGTGGTGATGATGGTGTTAGGGCAAGGAGCCAGTTAGGTTCACCTTGTGTGCCAGGCATGCAGCCCAGTGCTGGTGCCCGGCTGGCGGCACCCCTGGGGACAGGCTGCCCTTGAGCACCCGGTGCTTGCCAAGGAGCACTGGTGGGCTGCAGCCTCTGGAGCTCCCTTGGTTGCCACAGGAAAGTTTGTTTTGGGCAAAGGGCCATGACCTGGGGCAGGAGAGTCAATATTGGCTGCGGGACAGGCTCCAAAGTCCAGCTGGGGAGCTGGGCATGGCTCTAGGCAGAGGCTGCCTGGGAAGGGGACACAGAGCCATGTGTTCTCCCTGTGTTCTGCCCTGGGTGCTATGCCCAGAGCCAGTTGGGTTCACCTTGTGCGCCAGGCATGCAGCCCAGTGCTGGTGCCTGGCTGGCGGCACCCCTGGGGACAGGCTGCCCTTGAGCACCCGGTGCTTGCCAAGGAGCGGCTGCCTCTGGAGTGCTCATCCAGATAAGCCGTCCCAATGGGTCCTTGCTATCGGGCCCCAGAGGGGCTGTCGGCACCCACCACTACACACTATGAGCCCCAGCAGCCCAGCTGGCTCCACTGGAGGTTGCCAGTCCCAAGAGCTGAGTATGGCCAGGACACAGCTCCACAGAGCCTGTTGCAAAGCGGAGCTGTCACATGGAAGGACTGGCCCAGGGACACTGCTGGCTCCTAGTCACAGCTTCTTTCAACCCTGTGCTGTGGGGCTCAGGCTCTCTCTGTACACCCCCACCCAAACTCGTCCCTGCATCCCATCTCCATCCTCCTCAGAGCAGCCCCAAGGACACCAAACATCTGCTCCAATAAACCCCCAGCAAGCAACAAGTAGGGGTCAGCAGTGCCTAAGGCCCCACAGGGCAGTGCCTGGCCTAGGATGGCTGCGGAGGGCGAGTTGGGGATGCCAGCTGGGTGAGAACGGGGCCAGGACATCCTGACGTCCCCGAGGTCTTGGTCCAGCTCAGCATGGAGAAGTGGAGTCTTGTCACTCCTGGCATTTGCTGAGCTATGGAGTTTATCCACCCTCACATGGATGGAGACTCCCTCCAAGTTTGAGTAGCAAAAGAAAAGCCACTGTTCTCTGGCTTTTTTTTTGCTAAAACCCCCATTACCCAGAATATTAATTAATGATTGAGAATTAAGCCATGAGAAAACCCATGGGGGCCAAAGTTGGGTCTCATTTTCCCAAGGCCACGTTGGAACTCTAGCAATCATAGGAGCCCCCGGGGGTTTGTTGCAGGCAGCAGGTGCAGCAGGGCTGATGATGGTGATAGCAGGGCTCCGGCTGCCTGCCAAGCCCCCACATTGCCCTGCCAGGTGTGAGGACAGCTATTTATAGCCCTGCACAGGACAGTGATGCCATGGAGGGGCTGCTATAAAAAACAAGTCTCCAGAAAGGTCTTGGAGCAGATACTGCTGCAAGATCTCCACACCGAGGCCTGGAAATATCCCAGCTGGAGTCACTCAGATTCACCCAGGTCCTGTTGCATGGCCAGCAAGCCAAACCATCCACTGTGGAGAGAGGAGGGTTCTCCAGGGAAAACAGCATCAGCCCACTGCCGAGAGCCTTCAAGCCCTCAAACCCATCAGGATTTCCCTGCCCAGCAATATGGGGCCTGGCTGGAACACTCCCAGCACAGATCTGGAGTGAGGAGCAGGATGAAGACACCCAGGAACCCTCGTTGTCCCTGCAGAAACAAGCAAAGCTTCGGCCAAACCCTTTGTGTCACAGCTGTAGTCATGAGCATTGGCATGTCACTGCTCCAGCTGCCCTTGGAGCTCCAAGTGTCCCTGCTGGAGATCAGGATGGGGGCCTGGGACACAGCAGCAATAATTCTTACTGCAAGCATGGCTCAGGTTGCATAACACACTCCAGCACAAGGGAAGAGGCTTTGGTAGCCAGGCCATGCTAGTGCAAAAGAGCAGAGACATCCCAGCTCCCCATCACCTGGAGGAAGTCCCTTCAGGGGTGCCCAGTGCCACCCCGAATGGAACAGGAGGACAAGTGTCACACTGGCACCCTGCAGGGGACAAGGAACAAGGACTGCTCCCCACTCCAGGGGCAGGGAGAGCATAGCTCTGTTCCTTGTCCTTGGGGAGGGTGACAACACACCAGCACCACACTGGAAGCTGATCTGATCCTGACTCACCATTCCTTTATGCCATAGCTCCATTTGTGCTCCAGAGATGTCCGGTGGTAGCTCTAGGAAGGCAGAGGAGAGCCATATCAGACAATCCCACATCAACACAGGGACCAACAAAGAACTCACAGAAGCCATGTTTACAAACACAAGTACATAATGTTTATTCTTAAGTTTCCAATTTATTACAAGTACAGCCCTTTGCAGAAACCCCCTCCCCCCAAATGACACTGATTTTTAAGAAAACGTGCAGTTCCAAAGGTTCTACCATGTAGGACCTGCAGGAAATGATCTCTAGGAAACAAGACAAAACAGCCTCTGAAGGGATGTGCGAGATACAAATGTCAGTGCTATTCTGTGGGGCAGGGAAGTGAGGCTGAGGAGAGGGAAGGGGCTGGAAACTTGCCTCATGTGCAGTCATTGACAGTCCAGAACTTAAAACAAGTACCTGTTAAAAAAAACCCCAAACCTAAAACATTCGCAAAACTAGGCTGAAATTTGTAATTGATTATTCTTTTCTTCTCAAATCCCAGGAGCTACAACAGCTGCTTCTGCTTTTCTGTTGCAAAACCAGCACCGAACAGCCCCATGGCCCATTTATTCCACATCAAACCATTCTGGCATAAGAAGTTCAAGCCCTGATTGTATGATCCAAACCTGTCATGATGGAGAGGAAGAGAGAATGAGAAAACAAACCCTTTTCTTAAGGAAAAGTCAGCATCTGGGGCAGCAGGAGCTGGTGCTGGGCCATAGCACAGGAACAAGGGTGTTACTATGAAATGTCATGAGAGTGCGGCTGAGAGAGACTAGGATCTCCCTCTCCCCCCCAAAGTCCCCTGATCTAACTCCTGCTACTGGTAGGAAGATGAGTTTTAAAGAAGGGGGAAATATAAAGCAAACACGATTTTATATAAACTGTACATGTGCCAAAGCAAGACAAGGGTATCTTACAGGTGTTCTTTGTACAAGATCACAGCTAGAAACAAAGCCACTTTCAACTAAAAAATTAATTTAAAAAGTTACACAGCACATTTCTGCTTCTCCCCTGGCCTTGGAGCTCTCCTTGGGCTGCATAGACACCCACACTCTCCAGTTTACTGCTGGCACTCCATAGGGCTGCATGATGACATGCATGTCCAGGGGAGCAGGGAGCCTCCTCTTGGCATGTACAGGTGGGGAGCTGAGCTTAGAGCCCTCCTTGGACTGAGACCTCCAAGGATTGCTCCCCAAGGAGTGGGGAAAGCAGGAGCACCTTGGAGCAGTGGTGTTGGGATGCTGGTGAAAGCCAGACCGCGGTACACCTAAGTGCTTGCTCGCCCCACACAGCCCGGAACTGAGGCTCAGAATTAACACCATATAAATATATACATGCAAGCCTGAGTAGCCCATTGGCCTGATGGCCCCCAGTCCTTCTGTGGAGCAACACGATCCTCCCCTGCACCAGTTGGAGGCTGGTGTGCTCACATGACTGGCAGCAGACTGCCCCACCGCGCTCTAGCTGCTTGCAAAGGCAAGGAAGCAAATCGTTCCAGGAAACTGACAGTGCCTGAACTGGAGCATGCTGGTGTTCTTCTGCCCAGCCAAGCTTGGCCAGGCCCCCCCCCTTGCCCTCCCACCTTCCCCTCCTGGCAGGACAGACTCACGAAGAGCTTTGTAGATTTTGAGGAAGCATTTTAAGTCATTACCACTCAATGGATGACTTGAGGAAATTGCAGAAAAATTAAAACTAGGATGGGCCCAAGGGAAGGCTGGATTAATAGAGAAGTGCCCGCTGCTTCTCAACTCCCTCCAGACAACCCATCCGACTGCCTGGCAGCACCAGAAGGCCTGCTCCAGTTCTGGCTCTCCCCCTAGCCTCCCCATCCCTCATTTCTTCCTTTTCCGCCCCCGGGAATGTTCAAGGGGCTCTGACTCACTGTCCCCTTCCTGCTCCTCCAGTCCCTGGCACCTGGCAGAGAGCTTCTTGCGTTTCCTGCGTGCATACGTGTGGCCTGGCAGGTGTTTGTGCACCATGTCAATCAAACACTGCTCTGTCTTCTCCAGGCAGGACAGTACGTGACTCCCATTCTGGTTGTAGCGCTCAGCATTGGAGAACACCTGCTTCATGTCGGAGAGGAACTCCTGCACAGAGCGGTAATTGCCACAAGAGCACTTGCTCTGCATAGTCTGGAAGTCCATGGGGTTGCTGATGACCTCAAAGTAGTCTTCAGCTTCCTCCGTGGTCACTGGCTCCCTGCCAAAAGAAGGGCCACAGCGATAGGAAGGGAATGCCAACCCTGGCACCACTGCAGAGAAGTGGGGTCCTGCCACCTCTTTGCCCCTGTGGCACCTGTGACCTGCAGCCCCACAGTGGTGCAACAAGCGCAAGCAATACCACTACAATGTTACAGATACATCAGCCCTATGGCACGGGAATGGGAAGCACAGGAGCCCAGGGAGCTGGTTCAGGCATGGGGAAAGGTCCATGAGGGAAGCTTCCCTCAGTCACAGCACCTCAGTGCTCCAAAAATCCTGGGGGCAGTAGAGAACACCTACCTCCTGCATTAGCCTCTTGCCTACCACCTCAGAAGGGCACCATGTCTTCAGTCCAGCAGAAGACTGAGAACATGGTGGTTTCTTCTGGAGCAACTTCTTCCCAGATATGTCTTGCTTTTGGAGCCAGTCCTAAGTTTCTCAAGTGGATCTGGCAGGACTGCACCACAGCCAGCCCACATCCCCACACAGCCTGTGGCCAGTCCTGCCCACAGAGGAGGAAGACGCCATTTGCCCTCACCTGAAGGGCCAGCTGAAGCGGTACTTGATCAGCTTGCTGAGGATTTCCTCACACTTCTGCAGCTCAAGGTTCTGGCGACGCGCTGTCCTCTTTGTCTGAAGGACCTGCCCACACAAAGTGTGTTGGTAAAAAGAGGGAACTGCTACAGGCTTCGGAGTTCAGCTAACAGCCCTGAGGCCAAAGGAGCTAGTTCTTAGCACAGCCAGGACACTTCTTCCCTCTGAACATGGCGAGGGGCTGGCACTGGCTCCCCAGAGGAGCTGTGGCTGCCCCATCCCTGCAAGTGTTCAATGACAGGTTGGACAGGGCTTGGGGCAACCTGGTCTAGTGGAAAGTGTCCCAGTGCATGGCAGAGGGGTTAGAATGCGATGCATTTAGGACCCCTTCCAAGCCAGGCCATTCTGTGATTATGACATGTGTCAGCCGCTTGGGTTCAGGACAGCAGCTTCATTCAGGAGCTTGGTGGGAACAGCTCACAAACTGCCCAGCTCTCTTCTGGTAGCAGGTGGCTTTTTCAAAATAAGTTCAAAGACAATATGGCCACAACAAGCAGCCAAAAAATAAATGCCAGCAAATGAAGAATGTGAATTCCCTCTCCCTGCCTTCTCTTGAGCTTGCAGCAGGAAGAACCCGAGGCAGATGGAGAAGCACTTGTGCTGCTGTTCTGCCCTGGCAGAGTTGACTGTGCCATTTCAAATCCCAGGAGCAGCTGGTGCCCTGAGCACTATCATCCCTGTGCAGGCTCAGCACAAGGTCACTCATGTGCCCAGGGACCCAGAACAGGTCACACCCAGCATGGGGACATCCCCATAGCTTCCAGAGCTCAGCTCGTGGTATGTCACTGCTGAAGAAAACACTGAATGACAGGAAGGCTTCACAGCAGAGGGTACTCACTATTCTGACCCAGCTCTGGTCTCTTCCCAGGACAAGTGATAAATCATGACAAAGTCCTCTTCTCTGAGCCACTCTGCTGTTCCAGTAAGATTTTCCCCACTGGAATATCCCTCTGTGCTGGCTGTGGCTGTCTATGCTGGGCTTGCTTGCCCTCCAGTGTATAACACAGACAAGCACAGTCCCCCAGACCTAGCATAGGCAGCAGTGAGCCCACAGTCCATGAGCGAGGAGAATGACAGGACTCACCAGCACCACTAGTGCTGGTCACGGGACAGATGGCAGATCTGCAGGGCATTGTGACGTGGCTGTGGGGCTGGAGTATCCTCACGTATCCCCTATGGCATGTAGCTCCCCAGAGACAGTCGCTGCAGCTCCCCCGCACCCAGCACGCACAGACTGCTCTGTGCAGGAGCCTATGGTTTTATTCTTTAAATATCAAGTGAAACCTAAACCGGCCAAATTATGTCCTGGAAGTTGGGGAGTGACCATACAGACAACAACTGTCATAAAATGGCCAAGGCTAGGGAGCAAGGGTCCAGCATTGCTGGCATTCTCTGGCCATCCGGGACCCCCTCAGTTCCCCCACCTCTCTGCAGAGACATATGGATACTATTTAAAAACCTTTAACAAGCTGCAGGCTGCCTGCTGCTCCAGGGAACAATGTGTGAAAGCGACTGGGGAGGGATGCCTGACATATCTGTGCTCTGTCTGCAGCAGGCCCTTAAGGATATGTCTCCTTTGTTAACCCAGCCCAACCCGGGCTTCAGGGTACTTCTCTGTGAAGGGATAGGAGGAAGCATGCCACCCGTTTGGTTTATAACTCACAATGTGAGTGGTCTCCAGGGAGAAATTTGGCACTTACCAGCTCATCGATGTCTGCACCGTTGACAGGCGCCGTGCGCTGCCGGGGTCCCCGCACAGAGTGCAGTGTCTGCTTCTTCCTCTGGTGCCTTCCCTGCCTCGAGGAGTACATGGAGCCCTGCTTGCCCCGGGCTGCCTTTCTGGGCCTCACTGAAACAGATAAGCCATGGGCTTAGAGGCCTGGGTGCATCTGGGAGCAGACACCACCCTTTGCTTCCCACACTAGGCTGAGCCTCACTCAGGCTGGTGACCCCAGGGACCACCTGGCCTCATCTCAGCTACACTCTCACACCTTCTACAGAGGGCATCTGTGGGTCATCACCACCTGCCTGAAGGGGCCATGGCTGGCAACAGCCTGCTGCTAAAAGGGTACTCACACACAGCAGATCCTCAAGCTCCGAGGGAAACCTGGGAGCTCCTGGATCATCCACTGCAGGTCAAGCAAACCTCTCTGCCTGCAGCACCAAGAGACCCCAACACATCAAGGTTTGAGGGAAAGACAGGAAAGCAATGCAAGGACAGACAGCTGTCTCAAAACAGCAACATACTCTCTGAAAGCACTGGGAGCAGAAATCGGGAGTTTCCTCAGTTTCCTACTGCCCCTTTGCTCCTCACAGTTTTGGGGATGGGTGCTTTTCCAAGTGGCCCACATAGTGGGATAAGCCCCCTGAGAAGGGAACTGTGTGCAGAGGAAGTGTCAAATTACTGCAGCTGGGAGCTGCTCCATGTGCTGCAAGTGGGAAACAATGGGATTTTATTCCCCAAGACTTGGGGTTGCCACATTACCTCCTAGAGAAATGCAGTTGCCTGTGTGAGTCTGCCTCTCAGAGCTCCCCACTGGTGGCAATGTAAGCATGTTGACGCACTCCCTTGTCTTATATTTCTCCCATGACCCTCTGTATGAGGAGAATGTGTTTGCCTTCCCAAGTCCAAGCCCTTCCACCTGATCCCAAGACCTTGAGCTGTATCCAGCACACTGGATACCTCAGCTGCAGCCTCTGATCCAGCCCTGTCCTATAAATCATCATGCTGGGCATGTGGCGAGGCTGCAGGACGTCCACCTGCTGTCACTCTGCTTGTGTATCAAGCGTGCAGCACGTGCTAAATGTCTGACAATCCAACATTCTAGGTTAGATCCCTCAGGATAAACGCCATAAGGATCAATGTGATTTTTCTATTCAAACAAAAGTTTTCCATGGTGACCTTTCCATGTTAATGCTCTCTAAAGCCAGGGGTTGCATTTAGCACTTTATTTTTAGTGACTGTAACTCTCTTTTGCCATTGTTTGGAAAGCTTGGCTCAGCTCCTGCCTTGGCCATGCAACACAGGCTAAACACACTCCAAGTGTGGACATGGATACACCGCAGGACAACAAGCAGTGCACACAGCCCTGGTTATCAGTGAGCCTCCCTGAAACCAGAATAAAGTAAGGGAATCAAGACTCAGGCCTGGATGGAAACCCTCAAAAGAACATGGGCTAATCCTCTGAGTCCCAGCCTCTGGATTCCATCTGCCTTGTTTAAGACAACCTGTATTTAATGTTATGTCAGTCAAGGACAGTTTGACAGAAAGCAAATGAAGGCAGTGTGTCATTCCCAGACTGAACTTTCCAGTGCAGCAAGTGAGACTGAATCAAACTCCCCTAAAACCAAAGTGGATACACATACTAAATATGTTTAGGTGAAGAAGCAGACATTGAGGTATCTAGAAAACAGTCTTTTATTCCTCCCAGCTGCCCCAGGAGCATCCCAACTGGTCTCTGTAGGCAATCAAAGGGTGCTGGTGGTCCAGGCCACACTACACCTGGAGCACTGTGCCTTCTAACTGGAATAAGGAGAGGAAGTGCTAGTCCTCCTATTTCAAAATGCCACCTTGCCAAATCACTAGAAGTCCTGCACTCAAGGGGTTATGAACTGGTGGGAAAAAGAAAAGAAAGGAGAGGGGGCTCTGGTGAGAGTTCCCATAAGCAATTAAACAGCTTCCAGTGTACAACAAATCCGGTAGGCGCAGAGACTGACAATCCCACCGCTCTGCAGGCCCTGATGACCCCCCAGCCCACTGCAGTCTCTACTGACCCCTCTCAGCCCTCAGAACAGCGGTGTCCCCAGGGAGTGACTGGGCAGTGAGCAGTTTCAATCTTTGCTAGTGCTGACCCCATCACAAATGGCCAAGGGTTTACTCCAGCTCCCCAAGTAACCACAGCACAGCCACAGCCTTTCCCTGTGACATCTCCCAGGCCTATACCTGGCCTGCATGAGGAAAAGTCCCAAAGAGGATCAGTATTTCAGATACTGAAGGCAGGAGGGAGGATTACTATTTTCTGTTACTTCCCTATTTGGTCAAAGCCTTACATTTTAGTCCAGCAACTTCATAGTCTTCTTCCTCCTCTTCTTCCTCCTCAGCATCTGGTTCATCAGAAGCTTCCTCACCTTCTTCACCTTCATCTTCAGCAGAATCCTCTGCATAGTTCCTGGAACAAGGCAGGTGTATGTGTTTGTGGTACAAGAGCCTGAGCAACAGAGCATCAGTGGCCCCAGGGGCCTGGTACTGTTTGGACTGTACTACAAACACCAGGCTCAGCCAAAAGCAGCTTGCTGTATTCTAGAATATCAAGTTATAGCTACAGCTCAAAGGACTCACTTCCTCAACTAAAAATCAGGACTGAAAATTCCCAAGAGCTGAATCATGGTATTTTTTGGTATTCTAGGCACCATGACCATGGGGCAGGGAATTATAAGACTGATTGCTGTGTAATTACTCCTCCCTGAGAGGAAGATTTGCTATTTGCCCAGGTCTGCAGACCAGGCCTAAAGAGTTTCAAGAGGGGCTCTTTTTCCTGCTGGAATATTTTCCATATACTTAAGGAAATAGATTGGTTTCTTTACACTATGGGAAACAAATCGGTGAACAGAATGTCAGGCTCCTCAAGTGCTAAAAAGTCAGAAGCCATGCAGACTCCCTGCCCAGCACATTCTGGCTTCTCATCTATGTCTGTTCAATCATTCATAGAATCATAGAAAGGTTTGGGTTAGAAGGGCCCTTAAAGCTCAGCTTGCTTCAGTCCCCCTGCAGGGGACACTTCAGCACTTCAGACACTTGGAGCAGGTTACTCAAAGCTCCATCACTTCCAGAGATGGGGCAGTCACAGCTTCTTTGGGCAATCTGTGCCAGGGCTTCATCACCCTCAAAGGGAAGAATATCTTCCCAATCAATATCCAATTTAACCCTGCCTTCTGTCAAGGGACAATGTCAAGGAAGCCATTCCCCCCTGTAAACGGTCTCTCTCCATCATTTTTGCAGGCTCCCTTCAGGAATTAAAAGACTGCAATTAGGTCACCCCAAAGCCTTTGCTTTTCCAGGCTGAACAATCCAAACTTTCTCAGCCTTCCCTAATTGCAGAGATGCTCTATCCCTCATATCAACTAGGTGGCCTCCTCTGGACTTGCTCCAACAGGTTGAAGTCCTTCCTGAGCTGGGGATCCCAGAACTAGAGGGAGCACTGCTGCTGGGGTCTCATTTGGACCATTAAAAAACAACATACCCAAGCAAAAGGGGACACAGGCAAAGCTGCTATGGGAGTCTAAATCCCCTGGAGAAAGAGGATCTCGAGCAATAAAAGGAATAAAACTTCCAAAGCACAGAGGGTGAAGAATATGCCAGGCTGACATTCTTTTCCTATCTCAGCCAAGACAACAAGAGCAGAAAGCAGAAAACAGGTGTTCTCCACCTGATGGCTCTGGGCCAGGAGCTGAGCAGCTTGCAGGTGACTCTGCCACATCCAAGTAACTATGAACTCAGGCTACAAGAGTTGCTTTTAAGCCCTGTCATTTGTGTACAAGCCTGATGAACTCTTAAAATGCTGTCCAGAGAGTAAGTAATACTTTTAAGGCCATATACCACCACCTGCACGGTACTGGCTGGCACACCTCTATTGTGCTGCTCCTCTGTCAGGGAGGATCTGCTCTCTGCTTCTGCATCAGGTGCCACTTGACAGCCTCACCTCACTGATATACGGGGAGATGTAGCACAGTTACCACCAGCAAATGACACTCACTGTAAAATGTTTAAGTTCCAGCTTGCAACTCAAAAAACCAATCTAACCCCATGCCTTCAGGAGGCAGCAACTCGTATTTGCCACGCCTCCTCAAATCACATTCCCTTTGTCACATTATAAGATGGTCCTGTTTTGCTAAGGTCATCAGGTAGAGAAAACCATTAGCACAGCACTTTGACTTGTCGTAGCAGAGTGGGGATTGAGATGCAGCCTGGAGTAATGTCTGCTCTAGCTTAAAAGAACACTGCAGTAACCCAGCCCAGGGACCCACAGAATTGCAGCCACCAGCTACATGAAGAAATAACCCAACCACATGCTCAAAGGAAACAACAACTCTTAGTGTAACTAATTTTGGCGGGTGTTTTGCCTATGTTTTCATTTCCAAACCCAAGTTATTTATTAAAACTCATGAACTTGTAATGCATCAGTACAACACACGTGTGCTAAACTTGCATCCTGAAACTGCTTTTCTTTCTGTTTCCGTGCTGCTTTAACTGGGTGATTTCAAACTTTCTAAAGGGGCTTTGCTCCAGGCTGGTTTGGGTCTTGTGAAAAGAAGCTCAAGACTGTGCTGTGACAAGGCTATGGGCAGGAAGGGTCACTCACCTGCTTCGTGAGCTGCGCCGGGCTGTCGAAGGCTGGCACGCTGGGCACTGCCACTCCCCGTCTGGGATCTCATAGAGTGCCGGCCGCAGGCAGAACAGGTGGAAGGCCTTGTTACACTCATCACACAGGATCAGCTTGTCATCCTCACCTAGGAAAGTGCAGCTCACTTGTAACAAGGCCACAGCCTCAGTCAACCTGAGAGGTAGAAGCTGCTGCAGTGCTGGAGGGCAGGATTAAGCAAGAGAAAGATGCAGAGTCCCCTCTGAGGGCAGGGACCCTTTCTCTGATGACCTTCCTTGGGGATCCTTCTTTCTGTCCCACCACTGTATTTATGAACAGCACCATTTAAAAACAAACAAAATCAATGCAAAGTCCCTCGCCCTGCAAAGATTTCACTCAAGGCAAAGATAGAAATCTGCCGAAGAGGTTCCACTCAGGCAAACATGGGGAAAGTGTGCGGCAAACAGGGCCCCAGAGCTGTAAGCTAAAAATGGAGCTATTCTTCTTCTATGTTCAGTCTGGTTAACCAACATGGTATCTTCTTCCACTTGGGGTGACAAGGCTACACTGAAAATCAGTATGCAGCAGGACTAGTCTCCTTGTGCCTCCCACTGATGAGGGGAAACAGGGAAATAATCCTGAGCCAGCTTTCCTTTACTGAAGTGGAAAAAGAAAGTGCAGAGGGCTTGCCAGCTTGTCTTTCTCTAACATCTCAGTTCCTAGCTTCTGTGAAACTACTGTGTTAGTCTCAAGTGAGCCCCCCCTTACTTTTGCCTAGAAACTCCTCTAACAGCAGGTAGGGTAGCTTTGGCACTGGTTTGGCAAACTCTTGAGGTTCTGCAGTGAAGGCAGATTTTGCACCAGTTCAGCCCTTACTTCTCTAAAGGGACGGATGGCTAGCCTTTTGGTAAACAAAAGTTGCCCAGCAGTCCCCCGAGCTCTGCCTGCCCTCATTTTCCACTACAGTTTCAGCAAATATAAAAGTGAAGAGGCAGAATGTACCACCAAGCTCTCTCCTCCAGGCTCCCGTCCAACAGGAGAGGTTATGGCAGAACAAATACCAGCAACCAATCTCTGCTGACACCCCTTCTATTTCGCCCTCCACCTGGAAGATTCTAATGTCCTTCATTCTACAGTGCACACAGAGAAAGTATCCCCTCATCACCTGTTTGGTGACCTCCCCAGCTCATTGAGTAGTTCTGCTCCCACTCTGGCATCAGAGCAGCAATATCCCACCTCGCTTTCCCCATAATAACCTTCCCAACCCGTCCTTGCTTGCTCCTTCTCTAAAAAACAGGATTAACTGACAAGGCTCAGAGATCCAAAGACCATTCCAAAAATGAAACTAGGGAATGGACAGTTGCGCAAATATTCCCAGAAGGATTTGTAGATTACTTTTGTCCAAGTACCCTAAATATCCAGGGGATAGCAGCTCTGCAATACTGGCTACATAAGAATGGTTTACTGGAGTCAGGGTCAAAGGTTTTTGAGAGATCAATGCTGCTGACTGTAAATCCTGACATTCAGAACTTAAAATACAGCCATAGTCAGAGTGACAGACTACAAGGACACATCACCTAAGCACAGCAGAGGTGACAGCATCCAATTGCTGCACGGGCAGGAATTCTGTGGGCAGGAATGCGTACCTTTCTTGCGACACACTTTGCATCTGGCATTCTCTGCTGACATATCCCACTTGATACAGGCATCCAGCATCCCCAGCAGTACATGCATACGGGAGAAGGTCTGGGCCTCACGGATTGCTGTCTTCCATTTCTCCATGGCTGAAGCAACCTGCAGACAGACCTAACATCTTACAACAATGCACAGACATAGATCCCTTCAGTCTAAAGATGTTTTTATATCCCTTAGCTGGGAACCTTCATAAACAAAGCTCAACTCTGATATTTCTTTCCTTCTGTGTTACCTCAGCAGTTCTGGTTGTGGTTTATCCATATCCAGTCTCCCAGGATCAGACAGTTTGTTCCTAACAGTCAACTGCTTTGCATTTCACAGTCAGGTTGAATCAATCTATGAGAACTCCACTAAATTCTTGCTCTGAAGGTCTAACCCAAATAATCAGCAGGCTAAGAAAATAAAAGGCAGAAATCTAGCACTGTAAAATGTGGGAGGAAAATTGTGGAACAGCTGGTAATCACAGTGGAAGGAGGGCTGAAGTGACCTGTGCTGCCCTCCAGTGGGTACCACACAGGCACCTGGACCGCAGCAACACCCGTGCGGTCCCTGAGCTGCTCAGGTGGCAGAGGGAACCCAGTGCCACCAGCTACAATCACACTGCACAGGCATTTGGACAGCCAAATATGAAACCAGCTGCTTCCCTGAGACACTATGGCCTCAGTTCATCTGAAATCCCAGAAACTGGTGATGAGGATGCAGCATCAAAACCGAGCCTCACACCACGGCAGCTGCCAGGGTCAGCACAGAGCAAGGCCAATGGGAACCATACACCCTGCTCAGGAGGTTTGGAAATACCATTTTGATAAATCCAAAATGCAGCAGGACAGAAGTTATCCAGAGCCATGTCCCTCTCCAATGGTAATCTTGTGCTCTACAACAGTGACGTGATGGCCCAGACATGACAGGGACATAACAGGCCTTTAGTTTATGTTCTTCTACCCCAGGAGAACGAAAAAACAAACAGTGAAGTGTCAGATAGGAAAATCTAAACTCTGCAGCTGACAGCAATTTGGGAGCCAAACAAAACCTTGGAGTTTTGCAGAGTTGCACATTCTCCTCTGACTGAATTTGAGGAAGCACAGCACATATTAGATGCTTGGAAAAACACACAAACTGTTCTGAAATGCCAACATCCCTACTGCCGTTGCTGGTGCGGATCCTGAAGAATCACCGGAGACAAATGTAAAGCTGCCCAGCCCACTGTGGAGGTTACACAGCTCCACGCTCCTTCTTTGCAGAACATTGTTGAGGTGCTTTGCATACGGTATAATTGATTTTCCACGGAACTGTTCCATGGGTTTTGCTGTTCACATGCTGGGCCAAGAGAAATCTGCAAAAGCCGTTGGCAAGCTTTGCTGAGATGTTTCTCCCCAGGTCTGTGGAATTTAACAAATTTCTAGCCTTGCCTCCCAAGCATCAGGAGACTGTGGCATTTGAGCAGCACCAGTACCAAGGGAGTTCCAGCTGCCAACAAGGCAAAATGGGAGACTGGAGGAAGTTACTTAAATCCCCTCCTTACTGGATAGGAGCAACTGAGCAGGGGGAAAAAAACAAAAAGCAACTCCCAGAATAAAAGAACGAGTCCTCAGTCACATGTCAACCTCAGAGTGACAGAAAACACCTTCTTTGGTAAAGGTAGACAAGCCTCCAGATACGAAGGCTCTCACATGGCAACCTGAGCTGAAACCCCTTGGAACAGCTGAAACTGGAATTGCTTGGTTGTGAAGCTGCTCTTTGAGGGATTGTCTGCAGGTGCAGACTGACTCTCCCCTTGCACAGACTACTGAACGTGGGTCACAGGAGGGGTAACCCATCCATGTTCTTCACTCTGCTCATGCTGTAGTGATGCAATGTCATGCTGCAAAGAAGTCCTGTTCTGGGACAGTCCAGCATGCTACTGCCACTAGAAATGGGAATATTTTCATCAACAGTGACACCAGCCTGATTTTTAGGAGCAGCCACAAAAGCCAGGTCTCACTGCAATCCTTTGCCACTCAGTAGTGTGAGCTCCAGCAATGCAGCTGAGCCAGCAGGAACCCTTAATACAGACAATTATGTCAGCAAACAGGTGCCTGTTAAGCCATAACTTGTTTCTCACAGGGAAAATGAGACATACCCATACCACAGGGTTGCAATTCTTCCTCTAAGTCTGGAAGTATATTGAGTGTGTTTTCCAGTGTGGCTATGCTGTATTTTACCTCCTGTGTGCTCTCAGTGCACAAAAGGCTTCATAATTCCGAGCCTATGCAGGAGATTTTTCTTCAGAACAGTCGGCCTGGCAGTCAGGGACTTTCCTCAGATAACTGTATCTAAGAAGTAGGCTGCTCTTTCAAGGTCATCTGTAAAGGTTTTCTGCTTTGGCGAAAAGAAAGCTTATTCCAGATAAATTGAGGTTAAAAAGAATTGCCAAACCAAACAAAGCAACAAACACCCCAAAAAAAGTTGAACATTGCTTGTACCACCACAAAGGTCTAGAAAAGCCTGAACGAGATAGTAAGCACTGCACTACATAAATAAATGCTCCAGAGAGATTGGCATGACACTAAAGCCAGTGCTTGCGAGGGGGGAGACCTGCACAATCACATATTGGGACTGTGTTGTAGTAAATCTGATGCTACCCTGAGTACACCCTACAGGTATAGCCCTCAGGGTTACAGCCCTAAGGCAAATTTGAGTAAAGCACAATATGGTGCTGCTGTAGAAACGGGAAATGTGCTGATCCAAGTCCTTTCTGCCTCAGACCTCACTGATTTTACAGCACTCCATTTTGCTGTGAGCTTTCAGGAGACAGCATCCTCCCATTACCCTTGCACTTAGGATGGAAGATTTAAAATTAGCAAAGTTTAAATACTTCAGGACAACTGAGGAATGTGAAAATTTCTAGCACCTATCCAAATTATCCTGCTAACACAGCAATAGCACAGCTTAGCAAAGATCTGATGTTCAAACAAGCATTCAGCATACAGTGACAGGAGCTTTAAAAAAAGCCCCACAGATCCACAGCAAAAAACCTACCTCTAGCCTCAGTCACAGATTCCCAAAAAGGTTTGTGTTGGAAGGGACTTTAAAGCTCGTCTCGTTTCAACCTCCCTTGCCATAGGCAAAGGTACCTACCACTAGATTAGGTTGCTTCAAGCCCCATCCAACCTGGCCTGGAACACTACCAGGGATGGGGCCGCCACAGCTTCTCTGGGCAACCTGTACCAGGGCCTCACCACTCTTACAGGAAATAACTTCTTCCCAATATACACTCTCACCCCACTCTCTATCAGTGTGAAGTCATTTCCCCTTGTCCTGTCACTACATGCTCTTGTAAATTAGTCTCTCTCCACCTTTCTTGCCTGCTCCCTGCAGATAAACACAGGTGAAGAAATATAATTTGGTTTTAAGTTGGGACTTTCAAGTACTTCTGCTGATCCAATCCTGATATTGTTGCCTCTGCTGAAGTCAGTGATCAGTCAGGGCAGAGCTGAGGACAGTGGGGAAAGTCTTGTCACGGGGCATTAATGTCCTGTTCAACTAAATATACAGAAACCACCCCTGAACTCTAGTACCTATAGTACCTCTGCTGCACCAGTGTGAAACACTGGTGCAGCATAAGTGCCTGCAGTACCCTTCCCAACCCTCTGTAGCTCCTCTCTATCCCTTTTATTAGGAGAGATACATCTTTAGACCCACAATACTACTTTTCTCCTGGAGGCTTGCTTGCCCAGACATCTCCCCACGTGCTCCCACACATCCAACAACTTGTATCTCCCTTTGCCTAATGTGGTATTTACCTGAATCTCTTCCCCCTGAAGTCACCAGAACCCAAACATGTCTCTCCTTCTCTTTGTGGACCAAAGCACCATCAGTCCTCTCTTGCAGATACAACTCCTATTAAGTTCTGTGAAAATATTCTATAATATACTTTTATTTAAGCAGAATTGTATGGAAGGAACTTGACCCATTTCCTATTCACAGAGAGAAAAATAGGCATCTCCTCACTATTATTTTTACTTTCCCCATAATAAACAGGCAACACCTGGCCCCATAAACACCAAATACACTCAACTTCAAATCTGAAATGGGAGGAAGTTGCTCAAGATTTAGTACCTCATGAAATGGACTGCTACTACTCAAAGAGTTCTACTGCAAGACTGAAACAGAGCCCTGAGGTGAACAATACCTTGGCTTCTTCTGCCATTTTCTTGTCTTCATCTATCTCGTCCGCCCTGGCAATGTAATCGTCTCCTTGGTGTTTCCTTCTCTTCTGCTTAGGGGCCATGAAACCTTGCAGAAACTTCTTAACAACACCAGCCTGGAGCGCAATCACACACTCTCCAAAATCCTTTAGGCTCTCCAGCGAGTACACCTGTTGGAAGAGCACAGGACCCCATAACAGCTGGATATTACTCTCTCTGCTGCTTGAAGTGCATCTGCAAATGGACACCCGTGGTACCTAATGCAGTGTGGTTACCTGCCACACCTGGTTATGGAACCAGCATATTGCTGCTGTCTCAACAAGACATGCTGGCTTTGATATAGAAGATAAAAATCAGCTATGGAGTTCTGCTCCATAAAGAAACCTGTCATGAGAATATGGAAACAGGACAATTGAACAGGACACTCAGCTCCAACATTATGACCTGCCTATGCCTCAAGCCATCAGCTGTGTAATCTTGAAATAATTGTTTAAAGGACAAATGAGAAAACTGATTTCCTGCTCCTCTTGTCTGAGGAGAACAAAAGACCAAAGACCTTCCACAGAAAGTATCATCTCACACTTGTCTTGTTCAGTACTTTGCCTGTTCACTCACTTTTGCTTCATATTCTGGTGTCACATCAACATATCCCAAGCCTCCCTTCTGCAGCCGCGTTGCAACCTCAATCAGATCACTCCGGAGGTAGTTCAGCAGTTCCTGGTTGCCATCACAAGATTTGAGGCCCAAGTTCTGTTTCCGAGCCAAATGGATGGAATGTGTGATGTCCTGATACCTGGAAAATCAAACACAACCTTTGAGTACAGGCAGAGCACTGCCCTGGGAGCAGAGCAGGCTCTGGGACAATGGTCTTCAGTGAGAGCTATGAGCTCCACCAGTGCAGAACATTCTTTGAAAGACACATGAAAGCACGTGGCAAATCTGGCTCAGAGCAACCGGCCCTGCCTTTGTTCCTGGTTTCAAGGAGGAATTTAAAGACTGGCAGAACTTCCTCACTGCTCAGAGTGTTATTTATCAAGAATCTGCCCAAGAAAACCAGCAATTGCTCAACCTGAATGTCCTCCCCTCTTCAGCACAGGAATAATCAAAGCCCAGCCTGGGATGCTGCCCCAGGAATGGCAAGGATTGCTGTGCCAAGGACTTGCTCTGACTTGGAGAAGGCACACATAAGAAAAACAAAGAGTAGGCTCACTTTTTCTCCAAGCGCTCCTTGAGCTGGCTCTCCCTTACTCCTTGGGGGTGCAGGCAATCCAGCAGTTCATCCAAATCCTTCTGACTGTCACAGAGAAACCTGAAAGATAAAAAAATGCACCTAGACCACTACCCTAGAACACCTAGGGTATCTCTGTGACGATACAATTTCCTCTTCTAAATAGTTCCCAAGGATCAGCAGGTAGGGATAAGAGGTAACCTATATCCTGACACCATAGAGCAAGGTGAAACATTCCAGGAATGCTCGTAGAAGAATTCTGACTCAGGTTGGCTTCGTTTCAAGGTCCCCAAATGCAGCCAATGCTAGAGTAAGAAAAACAGAATCAAAATAAACACTAAACTGGTTTATAGATGTATTTTCCCCATTAAGTTTATTAAAACATTGACATTTGAATTTAGTTGTCTATCCCAGGGATTCCATTCCTACTCTGCAGTTAAGTGATCTGAATGTTGTGTTAGATGTACTAGAAAAGACTAACATACTATGCACTGACAGCATGGCAATTTAATATTATTTTCTTTCATTAAACAGAAATCCCCAGATTAAAAAGGAGATGTCCTGGCTGATCCCACAACTTCTGCTGCTGGAGATGTGTGCCTGTGCAGGCTCTGTCTCTGCAAGTGCATAAGTCCTCCTCTGCTAAGCTTGCCAAAACTTGAAAGCCCAAGTGCAGAATCTGAAAACCATATTGATCAGCTTGAAACCTTCTTGCTCAGGAATCCTTGAAGACAGCAATGGCCATCAGCAGTTAGTCCAATCTAAAAGGAGAACTACTTTTACAGAGTTCTCTAAATCAAGATATTCTTCAATTCCAAAGTACAATCATGTTTGCATGCTGGGTTGTACATTTAAATGAGATTCCACACTTTCCTTCTTTTCTTTCTAATTCTATTCTAGGAAACCGTGGAGACTCTTCATGTGATGGGATGTGGACTCAACTCAAGCTTCACAGGTCATTTACAGAAAATATGACTAATTCCCTATCTTCTATTAGAGGATGGCTCATCAGAAGAGGGAAGACAGGAAATAGGATAATCAACCTCATTTGGAAACAACTGCAAAGGACCACTCTGTGATCCTCACCAGAAGATTCCAGATCTAATCTTTCTTCTTGGGCATGAGCTCAGATGAGTCAAGCAACAACTAGAGAAAGATATCACTGTGGCTCTTCTTGGAATACCAGTCTCCAAAATGCTTATTTTTCTGGCAGAAATACTTACTAAATACCATATCAGAAAGTATTTCATAATTCTATCTATGGTCCTACTAGGGTAATAGCCTCACAATTTGCATTCAGCTAGGAAATTCATTACTCTAATAGAACATAGGATTGATTGCTCAACAATGGAAGCAGGATGTCTTCAAGCCAGTTATCTTCAGTACATCTGACCCCGTGGAGCATCCTCACTCTGTACCCTGAGATTAAAACCTTTGGGCACCATACTCTCTGCACCTCTCCCTGAAGAATAGGACAGAGCAGCTTCAGATATCCTTCACCTACTAGAATCTGTCACCACTGGGGAATGGCATAATCCATACGCCAAACCATCTGCTCTACAGATACTCAGCACAGAAGTATTTCCCAGACACCTTGAGATGGGTCGCCCAGGTCATGATAAAACAACATCAGACATTGCTGGTGATACACCATGGAATCCAGCTAGACAAATATTCAAGATGACAATGCCTGAGCTTTCCCTGTTTTCTCCCATGGAGACAAATTAAAGGGGGGCATTTACTGCACTGTTCTGTCACACTAAAAAGGAAAGGGCTCTGGAAACAGTCATCATGTAGGGTTTCTATTCTCCAGTATTTTGGGGGAAGATAACACAGGCTGCTGGGCAGGTGCAGAAAACAGCTCCCACCCTTCTAAGAAAGCCAGAGTTAAGCCCTGGTACAACTTTGTTCCTAATGAAAAGGACATAGGACAGGGAAGGAAGAACATCTGCAACAGGTACTTAAATCTTCCCAGTTCACCCTGAGAGTAAGAACTGGGCTTTCTGGGACAGGGAACTGATCTAATTAAGCCTGAACCTAAGCCTGATCTGCAAAATACAAACATATTGGAGACAGCATGTTAGTTTGATTAGTGACCCCTTTCTGCTCTGTGCAGCCACAGCTCCTGCTTCCCAAACTAGCTCCAGGCATGCCCTACCTGTAGGAACTACCTGCACATCCAGCTGGAGCTCAACCACTTCCAGGCTGGGAGCACTGACATGGTAAGACAGGGCTGGCATTTTAAATGGGGAAGAAAAGTGAGTCTTGCAGAAAGGGATGGTAAAACAGTTGGTTCCCTTCATGTTGCCTGACACAGATTAATCACACACTCCAGAGGGATGGGAAAGATCCCTTTGGGAAAGTCAAGACCAGGTTGGGGTCTTCAAATTTATATACAAGGGGGAAATCCTGACTGGTATCAGGGCTTCCTGCATTCACAAAGAACAGCCTAGATTCTCTCCTGACATTTCTGGCAGCACAAGCCAACAGACTGGTCAGCAACCAGAACAGAAGGCACAAATAGCACAAGCATCAGGTCAAAAGGAGCTTTCAGTATTCACTCAGGCTGAATATTCCTACCTGTTTTCAGGCTACAGGATGCAAGGGACCACAGAAAGATCTAAAACCTGGCCTAAGGAACAACAAAATTGAGAGAACAACAACTAGAGGAGCCCAGGACCACTACCTGCTTTGGAGGGTTGCTGGAAACAGGGGAATTCCATTTGTAGAATATAGGCAAGAAAAGGGAGTCTGTCAGCACCCATTCACAGTTAACTCAAATTGTCTTCTGAGGGAACCCACCATACCATGCTGAATTCCTAACAGATGAAGAACAACGGCAGTTACTCTGCAGCGATGCCAATGTTTCCAAATTCAACCCCTTTCTGACCAGGATGAGCAAGAAGTCTCCTGCATGCTAATATCCTGCCAAGGCTGTGATTCCCCCATGGTTCTTGCAGGAAAGTACACAGCTCACAAGCACTACAGTATGGACAGAGACTTCTTCAGAGCCTATGTGCCCAGAACAAGGAGATTTTTTAATAAGGATCAACATCTGTGAAAGTGGAGCACAAGTTGAACAGAGAGAGTGGTCCATCTGTCTGAAGAAGACAGAAGTAACCAAGTGTTTATGATGCTGCACTTTTAGCAGCACTGAACTAATACTTGAACACTGGACCCTTTTCTTTTCTGCGACAAAGTACTGACAGCAGAACTACTTCCATGAGATATTATTTATGTAACTCTTGATAAAAGTATAAATCTATTTCTCCCTTTATTAGTGCCCTACCAGCTCCCATCCTCAAAGGGAAAAGGGGCAGGACTGTGAAAATACAACTAATCAGAGTTAATTTAGTGTTTAATTTCACAGTCCCATCACTCTAAAGGATAAAAGGGTAAAGCTAAAGATCCTTTATATGCACTCTGAGGCTACTCAATCCCACATCCCACTAGGAAAAGAGACAAACAGCATGACCTAAAGCAGAACACAAAGAAATGAAACTTCCTATGCACATGTGAAAATTACACGTTATAGATGGACAAGTCCTTGTATCCAAACAACAGAGATATCCATGGACTTCAGTGTGGGCTCAGGGCTCCTCATGGCGTCCAACGATAATGTGCAAAAAGCAGCCAAGTAAAAGACTCTTCCATAACCATTTATGCTCAAAGCAGTCCTTGAGATCAATGGCAATGGCCCCAAAGGAAAATACAGGAATAGGAATATTTCCTATTTTTCCTAGGATTTTCCTATATTTCCTAGGATATCCTCAGAGGTAAGTTCTAGTTCCTGGCTATCCCCTGAAGTAACAGCTCCCAGCCTGTCTCTTGGCTTTCTGTGGATGCTTACATGTAAGTGGTGGCAGGTGTCAGACAGGTACTTAACAAACAAACCATAAGGAGCTCCAGATCTTTAAGGAAAAGCCTTTCAGCTCAGAGACTTTATGGCTTAGCTGCAGGCATGGCTTTGGATGCCCTATCTCTCAGGGAGAGGCAGTCACCACAGCACTCAATTAGAAGGGGTTATGTGTCCTTTGAGAAGCTGCCTCTGTGCCCCTGCTCAAGGCCCATGCCTGGCTCAGATTTCCAGCTGCACTGTTGCCCCTGCCTGGCAGAACAGTGCATAGAGGCACGAGACCCTTGTAAAAAACCAGCAAGTGCTGTGACTGTCAGCACTTAAAAGTCCTTCCTAGCAGGGACAAGAAAGAACAGAAATTAAGGACACTGTGGCATAACAGCCAGGCCAACCTCCAGATCAGTGTCTGATGTCTGAGTGGCCAAAAGGCAGAGCAGGTATGCAGTGACAGTTCTTCAACCTACTCCTCCAGACTGCAGCATCTGCTGGTTTGAGGACTCCTCTGTGTGCCAGGACAATTACCTTTGCGCTTCCTACTCCTCAATGAACTCCTCTCTCAGCAGTTTGTCCACTGGTGCTTTGAACAGGTGCAATTCACAGATCCACAGCAGCTGGTAGCAGCCAGTTGTGTACCTCAGCTGCAGCACTTTCCTCTCCATTTCAAAACAGCCATTTGCTACTTTTATTTCCTGATCCCTCTTTTCTCTATCAAAGAAAACCTCTTTAGGAGACTTCCCCAGTTTCCTCTAGCATTACTCTCCATCTCCCTGCTGAAGATACAAGTTTAGAGTGTTTCTGTTATTTATTTAGTATTTCTTAGCCAATTATTCTCTCATGCAAAGAGCTTCCCTCTTCTCCGAAGGCAGACCCTGTAACGATAGATTTTGTGAAGCAGGATTGTTCCCCAAGGGGGAAAATAATTGTTTTGCCCTTAGTCTGTACTACACTTTATCATTCTTTTTATTTCTTTCACTGAGATTCACCACAGGTTTTAAGTAGGCTTTCTTACTTTTAACAGCTTCCTTATCCTGATGTGAACTCAAAATGTTTTGTTATTGCTGCTACAGTTTTGTTTCCAACTTCCTCAACCCTTTCTTTTTTCCAAAGGTAAGAGACAGCACTTGCTCAAACCATTTAGTAGGAAACTCTAAGGCAAATATTTCTGAAAGTGTTTTGGGCTTCTGGCTGTCACTTTAAGCTTTTTTTTTTAAAGAAGCTTCTTAATTCTTTTTGTTGTTTTCTTTTCTAAAAGGAGAATACCATCTATTATGGTCACTCCATACAAAGCAGCTCCTAGTGACAGAATATAATTTAGCACTGAGTGTGTCCAGGATCTGGTTCCAAGAGCTACTCCTCCCAGGCTGTGACTGGTTACTCCACACAGCACTCCTGCCTCTGTCACCACACTGATTTCCCTCAGAATGTTGTTGGGAGTTGCCAACCTGAATGAGCAGATCAAATACTGTGCTTTTTCAAGTTCAGCCTGGAGTCACAAAAGCTGAAGGAATTCTGTGTTAATTAACTCACCCAGTTTGGCTCTATGGTGCCCTCAGTGTTAGCAATGTGCTCTGTAAGTTTAATCTACTGTTTTCCTTATGGAATTGGTCCTTCTCCTGGAACACACCTTGCCATCTCTGCTCAATAAAGATCAAGTGTTAGAGGAGGCAGTCAGGAAGAGCAGAGGACTTCCCTGTGGATCACACTGCCTGTGCAGGACCCATTCCCTGGAAAGCCCAGCTGCCTGAATTTTGGCAAGATGTGCAAAGGCCCAGGGGTAACAGGGTGGGGATTTGTCATGGGAGGATGGGCCAGTGAAGGAAAGCACAGGAACTCTATGATATCCTATGACCTGATGCCATGACAGATAAGCAGCAGGGCAATACCAAGAGTCAGCACCCAATGCTGGTGGTTCAGATAAATCAAAACACCCACAATTTCAGTCTCTTTTACAGTTCCTGGTGGGGAAGCAGGTACACGTTTAGTAAAAAAGTAGCTCTGACTGGCAACTATTCTTTGGAGATGAGTTCAGCTCTATTTATCAAAGACCAAAGCAACCCCACTCTGTGTGTCAGCAGTGGAACTGTGTGGGACAGACACTGCTAAGAGGGGAGCTGCAGGAGCACATACTTTGTGACAGTTATGCTCAGGGTTATCTAAAAAAATACACAGTGCTCCACAGCAGTTAACAGGTGAAGCTTAGCCAGGGTTTTCTGGCACGGGGACAACTGATGAGCACTCCTTACCACACAGAGCAACATTCAACCGAGGAGAATTTCTTTAACGACACTGATAAGGCCAATTACTGCTGCAGGTTACAATCAACCATGCTCAAAGGTAGATTTGATTCACTTAGAAGACACTGCTTGGCATTGGGAAGCATTAAAGGGATAAGAGGCTGTCAACATGGAAGAATAAAATATTTAAAAAGCAATACATCAAAGAAGCATTTTAAAAGCTTAATTTATACTGCCTTTGTATGATTGATTAGGTTGAATGATGGCTCCACTGGCTCTTGGACTGGCTACCCTGTTAGCAGGGCAGTAATAGTATCAGCAACAGAGGCCTGCAGAGCTGCTGAACCAACCCAACTGCTCAGCACTGAAAGAGGAACAGGTTTGTAGCAGGTTTAGTAAAAGAAATCTGTCTAGATTCCTTGACCTTTACATTTTGAGTACTTTGCGGCTATGGAAGTGTGTGTTACCATAAGTTCTGGCCCTGCTTGGGAGTGGTGGTCTCAGCAGGCAGGTCTGTGGTGGGCATGGAACGGTGCAGCTTGTTCCCTCGGCTGTCACTGCCTGTGCTCTTCCGCTTCTCTGCAAAAGAAAAGCACAGGCTCAGGTAGATTCCTGAGCAGCATTCCTACTATTCCAAATACATAAAACTAGTTTCACTTTTTAGCTGTATAGTGACGAAGCACTTTGAAAACCAAAGGAGGTATAAGCAGTATGAATTTTTATTTCTGAGCATCTCAGGTAACACTCCGACATGAATTTAAATCTTTGCTCATTCAGGCCTTCGGTTGTTAAGTTTCCAAAGGAATGTGCTGAAATCCTGCCCACTGGCTGCAGCAGCGGCTGAGAGATGAAAACAGCTGGAAGCAAAGAGTTGATCAGGAACACAGCTGGTCAGTATTTGAAACAGCTCTTGTAACATGGAGGAGCTTGGAATGATACACCTCCAGCTCAGTCAGTCTCAAAGACACAGGTGTCTGTAAAATTACACCTGGATGAAGGATCTCACTGTATGTTTGCCCTGTTCTATTCCTCTACAGGTGTCTAGTTTGCCCCTTGTCTAAGACAATCCTACCAGGTGAGGGCTTGGATCTAACTCCATAAGCTCTCCCATGCAGGATTGCTTAGATGGACTCAGTGCCAGAGCGTGATGTTCCAAAAGCAAGAAATGATCACGACTGAAACTCAGTTGAGTCAGATTATTGCAGTATCTTCTGTCTCAAGAACTACTTCCACACAGAAATGTTAAGTTTCCTTCTGTACAGATAGATTTCTGTGCCTGTTCAAGCTTGCAAGGCTCCAGAACCCAGGCTCCAAGTCAGCCAGGCAAAATCACCACACAGAGGAAGCACTAGAAGTTCAGCAAGTCCCTTCCATCTCACCTGCACATTCAGCAAAGGTGAAGAGAAGGTTGAGAGGAACTGCATGAGGGATGTTCATCAAAACAATCTCAAATCTCAATCAGCAAAGCTGTGTATATCTAACAGACTGCCCTGCTTGTTACTATTCCACAGGCTGATCTAGGAGTCTTGGCGCCAGCAGAATATCAGCACTGTGACAGACATCCTCACTCTGCAGCACAACTAGCTAATTGTGCAAGGGGTCTGGCATGCTGCAACTCAGCAGAGTCAGAGTGAACCAGAGGGATGATACCAACTGACATCAACCTTGCTACTTGAAGGAGAGGAGACTGTCCTTAGGTGGAACACTGCAGGCAAGTCTCCAGACCTGCAGCAGCAGAATGGAAATATCACCAGCACCTCCTCTGTGCAGGCTTCCAGAGTTTAAAGGAGGCTTAAATCAGAGTATCCCCATGAAAACACTCGGACTCGGCAGTTCTTTCACACTCATGACTCCATTTGAATAGTCAGAGCAGAGGAAATACCCTCAAGAGACCATACCTCCAGGGCTGTAGTCCTTCTTTGAATCTTCCTTTTTCTGATGGGGAAGGGTAAATCTGTAGTTTATACTGTCATGTACCCAGCCTTTCTCAATAAACAAGCCAGGAACTTCATCTGAAAACAGCCAGTACCTGTAAGAAGTATGTGTTATTATTAGGTACCAGTCTCCTTTTCTGGCTAGTTAAACACACACACACACACACACTTTTATTTGCATTGAGTCAAGAAGCATCTGTGTGCTCAACTCACTAAAAGCTGAATGCAGGCATATCTTTATGTTAGCCCTGCTGAGAAACACAGAAAGCTTAGCTTAGAATCCATTCCAAGAGCATGCCTGCGCAACAACCATGAAAAAAAAAGAAAAGATGGTAACAAGGTTCCTGAGCAGCCAATGCCAGCATTTGAACCTCCACTAGTCCTGACCTCCATGGGAAGGCTTCAAAAAGTTGAGGACGTAACCAGCCACTTCATATACACAAATATTTTCCCCTTCTCTCTCCTCTGCAATTCCATACACCCTCCCTGTCTATCCCTTCCTGGGGGATGATATCTGACACAGCCCTTCTTCTCAGGGCAGAGATGGAAGTTCATGGTCATCTCCTTTCCCACCTGTTGTGATTCCTGTCAGTGCCAATTGGGGTCCTGCGCATCACCAGCTTGGCTTTGGCAATTCCATCCTGGAAAGTTTTCTCAGCAGCAGCTTTATGCCTCCGGATTCTTTCTTCCTCTGCTTCTTTCTCCATCCTCACTGTTAGAATCAGCAAAGAGCAGCATTAGTTTTCCTTTATTGTATCCAGACATCAATATTTATTGTCTTTTATTTTACTATACCATGGGAGTAAAAACAAGCAGTTTTATTGGGGATTTTAATAAACATTCTTGACAACCATACACTCTTCTGTTTACTTTCTGCCCACCATTCTACAAAAAAAAAAAAAAAAATCCCATATAGATATATATAGAAGTAGTCAATATCACAGAATCATGGAATGGTTTGGGTTGTAAGACACCTTGAAGATCATCTTGTTCCAACCCTGCCATGGTCAGGGACACCTTCCACTAGACCAGGTTGCTCTAAACCCTGTCCAGCCTGGCCTTGGACACTTCCAAGGAGAGGGCAGCCACAGATTCTCTGGGCAACCTGTGCCAGGCTAGGATGGATGGGACTTGGGGCAGCCTGGTCTAGTAGAAGGTGTCTTTGCCCATGAAGCGGGGGGGAACCATGATCAACTTTTAGGTCCCTTCCAATCCAAACCATTCTGTGATTCTTGGTCTCCCAGAACAGATACTCCCACATTCCAGCTAAGGAACAAAAGCCAGGCTCCATGAGGGATGCTTATCCCTCACTTGTTTCAGAAGGAAAATGACAACCTAGATGAGCTACACTGTCCACTTCCATCCACCCAGCATCCACATTTACAACCAATAAAACCCCTAAACTGTAATTCCGAAGCGTTCTCTCTTTACACCTATACTCCTCAAGCAGCACTACTTACACAGAGACAAGGTCTGGTGTTGCAACTCATGATTTAGAGAGGTTTGAGTGGACAGTTTATATTTACACAGCTCCATAACTAAATCATTAAAGCGAGAAACACTAAACTGAGATTTATTGCCCAAATCCTGATATGAGAGAAGGGCTGCTGGCAACAACCTGACCATGGGAACAGCAGCAGGGCCAGCAGTAGGAACTGATTTTAGGCAGGAAGTTTCTCCTCTGTACCCAAGAAGCAGATGATATTTGGACATAAGACAAATTTTTGGTTATTTTCTGTTCCCAAAACAGATACTGTCCTGTCCAACTTCTCTGGGCCTGCCATAATTAGAAAGGTACTGAACAAAAGACAGACACAAATAAAAAACTAGAAGCAGATATTGGTTTTTCTTAAATTTACAACGTTTAAGCTGCCACAGGAACCACAGGAGATGAATTATAAATCTCCAGTGAGCAAATCCCATAAATTCCATATAGCCATCTCTATTTGTGGAATTTAGACAGTAAATCACAAAAGAAGAGGTCACCTGGGTTTATACCGTGTTAGGTATAATGGTGCTGGAGCTTCAGTGCTCTATTATGTGATTCTGAGATCTATATTCCTACGTTTTATTTAGGTTTCATTCAGAAAATGCTTCCAGAAACAGGCTATCATTTTTGCCATGAAGTTATTCCACAACACACAAACACTCTACTCGCTAGGTAATTTTTCTTACCTCTCATTTGTATTTCTTGTTGCTCCCTCTCTTTCTTGGCTTGGATGGCAAGAAGGCGCCTGCTCTTCACAGCACTGATCATATCATCAGCTTCGATTTCCACCCGGTGCTCTATTTTCATAATTTCGTGTTTTTTCTTTTCATTTCTTCCCATCACATGCTCTTCTTTCCCATTCTCCTTGGTTTTAGCCACCATTTCTTTTCGCTTCTGTTTCTCTGCCCTCTTCTTGTCATTTTCCTCCTTCAGGACAGCCAGGCGCTCTTTCCACAGCTCAGCTGAGGCCTGCTGCTTGGCCTCCACATGGTCCTGCACTGAGTATGTCATTAGGATCCGGTGACACAGCGCTCCAAGGATCCGCAATTTCTCTTCAGGAGTCAGCTCAAAGAACTCTGATGTCTCCAGTTTCTCCAAAAACTCATCCTGTACCTCATTATCCTCGAAAGCTGCTGAATCCTTACTTTCATCTACATTATCTGAGACCTCGCTTTCCTCTTGCACATCTGACTTACGCAGGCACAGGCGAACCAACTCGGAAGCGGAATGCAGAGTAAGTGGGATTTCAGAAAGTTTCATTCCCAGTTCAGCATAATCCTCAGCAATTTCATCCTGCAGCAGGGTCTGCAAGAGAATGACCAGTACTCTGTTCAAGTACAGGAAGCCTCCCTTTTCTGCACAAAGGGCTTCCATCAGGGACACTGCTGTGATGGGATACTGAGCATCTGGCATCAATAACCCTGAGTAACAGCTCAGGAACTCCACCACCATGGCCACATCCCCAAAAAGTGTGTTAGGAAGTCCCTCTGGAGTATCAACCAGCTTAAAAGTAGGCAATGTCTTCCCTTTCAGATCTTGGTCCTCAAATCTCCTCTGTTTTTCCAGTTTTTCCTTCATCTCCTTCTCCTTCCGCTCCTTTGCTCTTTCCTTCAGTTTCTCTTTCAGCTTTTCCCTTTTCTTCTTCATGTACTCCTTCCGCTGTTCCTCAGTCATGGTGGCCCATCTCTTCCTGTGTTCCAGGAGCTCATAGCGTTTCTGTACCAACCCTCGTAAATCCTCGGGGAGACGGGCACGGTCCTCATTGGAAAGCAGCCGAGCTGTTTTGGAGATGATGCAGGACAGAGCACTTTTTTTGTCTTCCCGGTCTTTGTTTTCTTTGTAATAGGCAATGAGATGGAGTGCTGCAGGAGGCAGATGTTTCTGGGGTTTCCTGGAAGATCCAGGGGTGCCTCCAGAGTTCCTGGAAGCCCTGGACACTTTGGTGGTACCTTTAGCCATGTCCAGCAGTGTCATTTGCTTCATTTTCATCTTGGGGGTCTTCAAACCTTTCCTGGGAGACTTTGCCTTCCCCGACGACTTCTGCCCATTCAGAACCCTTTTGCCTCTTTGCTTTTTGTCCAAGGATTTGTTGTTCCCCTTTCCTAGTCGGCTCCTCTTTGGAATGTGAAAGTTAGAACCAAGTTTAGCAGGTGACACAATTTTCATCACCTCTTCCAGCTCCTCTTTAGGACAATTTGAGTTCTTAGAGTTTTTCACCTTCAGCGGAGAGCCAATTATAGATTTTTCCAAATGCACGTGACACCACAGGGTTGGACTCAGCGGCTGTCCCAGTGAAGATCCATCTGCTTTGGATTTCTTAGGAAGCTTTCTTTCAGGTGACCGAGAGCTCTTCCTCTTGGCTGAGGGATTGAGAGCCATATACTAAAATTAAAGGAAGAATTATTTTGTATTAATATTGAAAGGTAAATAAAGTTATCTAGATCTCTTCCTGTCAATTATTTTTGCCCATTTTTATTATTTTTTTTTTCCTAATGAAATTGCTCATTGCTCTAAGGGTAACAGGCTTCTGCAATCATAATCAGTCAGAGAATGGCTTAGGTTCAGAGGGACCATTAAGATCATCTTGTTCCAACTCCTGCCACAGGCACGGACACCTACTACTAGACCAGGTTGCTTCAAGTCCTGTTCAACCTGGACTTGGACACTTCCAGGGATGAGGCAGCCACAGCTTCTCTGGGCAACCTGTGCCAGGACCTCACCACCCCCACAGGGAAGAATTTTTTCCCCAATATTCAATTTAAACCTACTCCATGTGAGTTTGAAGTCATTTCCCCTTGCCCCGAACAAATATTTATCTTCTAGTTTTACAACAACACTTGACAGTCTATGAAAAAGTGAGTTTACTGAATGAACAAAATAGTGCTTTCTACACCAGAAGATGGATTTTAAAACAGCACATTTCATGGTATGGCATTTAGTTGGTTAATATTATATTTGGCTGGTTAGCACTATGGGCTGGAAGAACCCATTCATGCTATGTACGTATTCAGTAAATTGTATTATCTGCCATCGCTCAAGGCAACCCTGTACATGAACCAGGCCTCATGAAGTCACATGCATCCAGGTCTTGGGCCCAATACCTGACACTACCACATAAAGACTGCAGCTCTCCCATTTCTCTTACACCAGGAAATTTACTTTACTTGTAGACAAGTAATGCAAACCATTGGAAAAATTAAAAGGCAGTTGCATCTCAAATTTTTAAAGCAGACCACTGTTCCAGATGTTCAAGCCATGTCACCTCTCAAAAGGTCAACCTTCAAAAGAGTAGGTTTTCCTGCTCTGCTTCTCTCTGGATTTAACAGATATGTGGAATTGGCACTTGGGGATATGGTTTAGTGGTGGCCTCGGTGATGCTGAGTAACAGTGAGGTTTGATGATCTTAAGGGGCTTTCAACCCTAATGATTTTGTGATTCTAAAACCCAACCAGCACACTGAGGTCTCTGCCAAGACTCAAGGAATGGGTGGCAAAGCAAAGCAGGTACTTTTAGGAATTCTTACCTTATGTGGGTCAAGCAAGAAGTCACTGAATTTACTGGGGAGAGAGTACTTCTTCACTAACTCATCCTCCACAACCCAGGGAGCGTTCTCACACGTGCCAGCACGTAGCGCATTGTGACGGATGAAGTACCTCAGGATCTCCTTGTTGGGAGGACGCTCTGTACGGACTAAGCTATCTGCTGGAACGTTGCTGATGATCTTGGAGATAAGAGACACACTGTTAATGATTAACTTCTAACCACATTATAAATACAGATCATATGCCTATAAGGAACAATGATCATTGTACTGCTTCATGTCCGAAAACTCCTCGCTCATTCAAAGCTGTCTTGGAAAGACTCAAACCAAACAGAATTTGCAGAACTGAGACATACAGAGATTGGTAGGAGAATCAGATAGCTAGAAATAGTAGAGACCATGAGTTTATGATGCAGATTTTTTGCCAAAGCCCACTGTTTAATCTCTGGCCTTCCTGCAGCTTGTGCTTGCTACTGACTTTTAAGCTTTTACATATACATGTTTGATTTTTTTTCCTGAGACCAAAGGAGCACCTCTGTACATGGTACTCTTTGAGGTCAGCACTTCCTCATTTGTCAAATTACCAAAAAACAGACAAAAAGCACAGAGCAGTGCTGCAGCTATCCAGAGCTTCCCGAAGCACTGCCACCTCCAACTCAGAGCACCTTGGTCAGGACAACAGCAACAACCACCACTCATGATTTCACTGGTCTCATGAACTGCAAGACCAGAGATGAGGCACTTAACAGCAACCACAATAAAGCTCTGTGACTCAGTGTGTGTGGTACCAAGTGTTTCCATTCACAAAACCTAATTACAGAAAGAAACAGACAGGCTGGTCAGCCTCACAGACAACTATCCTGCTTCCAATGCCTTGACTCTGGCAGAAAGTACTATATTGTGCTGTATAATCATCAACAGTGATTAATTAAACTTGCATATTCATGTTATAATATCAAGGACTCAAGCAGACAACTCACCTTATCTTCATTTTTCAGTTTGACATCATATTTGTGCGGCAGGAACTTAGGTGGGACCCACTTCCTTTCTTCCTTCTTTAACGAAGTGGGAAGCTTTCGAGGAGACCTACGTGCTCGATCATCTGATAAAAGAAGGTGAGACACGGTCTTATTATTACAGTTAAAAAGATTTAAAAAAAAAAAAGAAGAAAAAAAAAAAAAAGAAGGAAAGAAAAAGGTTAAAAAATCCAGACCACTACTGGACAGGACATGTGACTTCTTGCTATCTGTACAGTGTTTGGTTAAACTAGAACATTAGGAATATAACCCAAACTGGATTTTAGAAATAGCCAGAAGATACAGGCCAGGAATGGAGGCCCAGACCAGCTCTGAACTAAGGAGGTAAAACCTATCTTCATGGAGTACAAAGGACCATCTTCACTTAAACCCATCTCTCTGCAGTAAGCTGCAACCACCTACCCAAAAGGGGAAAATGCAAGATTTATGAAAGGGAGATATAACCCCACCAGTAAACCTGCTAAGGGAACTCCTCCAACAGCCCTGACTACCTATGCCATGCCTTCTTTGAAATAGTTCCATGGTAGGAATCACTGACTTGGTTTTGTCTTAAGAAAAGAAAGCAATCTCCAAATGTTTTTATGTCTGTGGCTACCACAGAATCATGGAATAGTCTGAGATGGACGGGACCTTAAAGCTCATCTCATTCCACACCCCCTTCACTAGACCAGAGACACCTTCCACTAGACCTCCATGCTACAAGCCCCGTCCAACCTGATCTTGGACACTTCTAGGAATCAGGAAGCCACAGCTACTCTGGGCAACATGTGCCAAGGGCTCACCACTCTCAAAGGGAAGAATTTCTTCCTAGGATTCAAAGAAAACAATAAAGCAAGCATGAAGGATGAGAGTAATAATCTACTAAATATACAGAGAATAAAAGTAGATGTTAAACCTAAAAAAACCTTAAGAATATAGACCTCAGAATCACATAATAGAGCACTGAAGCTCCAGCACCATTATACCTAACACAGTATAAACCCAAGTGACCACCTCTTTTGTGATTTACTGTCTAGATTCCACAAACAGGGATGGCTATATGGAATTCCATCAAACAGCACCTGGATATTTGGGTGAGGAAGAAGAAATTACTATCCATTCCATCCTGAAGTTAATTTTAAAAAGCCAGCTTCATTTGTTGTTGCATTCTATTGTAATAAAACATACATTTATCCCTCAAAGAGTTCAAAGCCACATAGATGATGCTTTTAGGAAAATGGTCTATGGAAGATGTTCCTGTCCATAGCAGGGGGGGGTTGGAATGAGAGCTTCTTTAAGGTCCCTTCCAACACAGCTGATTCTGTGTTTCTAAAGCATCTATACTGTGTTGTCTCCTGGATTCACTTTATTTCAGATTGTCCAGAGTAGTACAGGTTCCAAGTCCAACTCAAGCTACAGAACCAGCCTCCAGCAGTTCCCCATCAATTTTCAGGACAATCTAGCCTTTCCTTGCTCCTGCAGATTTTCCACAGTTCATTCCCTAACCAACTAAAAATATAAAGTAAAATATCATGGTATAATGCCTTATTTTTAGCTTCTGAAGGACAGTAGACTCCTAAGCAGAGAGGCTGAAACTATCTTTCTCTGCCCCATTTCTCCTCCTACAAAACCAGCAAGTCTGACACAAGTATTAATAGAACTGTCAAGGTTTGCTCTGACCCCTCTTGTGCACACAGGCACACACAGCTCCTACATGACAGTTATACAGAGCTTGTTTCTGCTTCCAGTTACTCACTCTAGTGTAGTGACTTCAACCCACATCAAGTGGCCACATGTGAACATTATTAGAGAGGAAAAGTCCAGGTCAGTGTCACTTGGGAACCCCCCCCCCAGCCTCTGGGGATGCAACTCAACATTTTGTACTTCTGTAGTCTGCTGTGTAACTGTAAGAATTGCTACATAATGATATTAACACACTCTGGATGAATTTGTTTCAATGACGTTACTATGAGCCTATGTTCTGTTATAGCCCAGATTACAAAAGCAACAAAATAGCCTTTTAGTAACAGCATATATACAAGGAAAAGAAAGAAAAGAATACATGTTTACTGTTTCGGTTATGACTCTGCCAGCATCTTGAGCTGGAAAATGCTGAGGTTCATCTTTTCCAGAAAGGGGAGGACAGTCCCAGCTTCCAGAGGTGACTACGTACAGGCCAGAACCAACTGAGTCAGGGACTGAAACGAGAGCAGGAACCCCCATTCCTGCAGTATCTGACTTTGGAGTGCTGCACTGGCAATGCCCACAGCTGCTGCCCAAAGGATCATGGTAAGTCTTTTTTAAACATCCAGATCCAAAATTGCTGCTGTAAATTTGATCACTGAGCATTTTTGAAGTAAAAGGTACTTCCCATGCCTCTTATGTGGCATCTCGAGAGAATTATGACTCAATAAAAAAATACATATATAAATAAATAAAGCGTAATTAGCCCCTCTCCAAGTACAACCCTTGTTTCCAATGATGTGTATAAGGCCAGACTGTTTCTGAAGCGCCTTTTTTTGCTTCCTGATTATACAGAACATTGCAATGAAATCAAAACAGCTCATAACAATACCCATCAAAAAGAGCTGACAATTTTTAAACTCAGGACTAGACCTTGATACAACTTCTTTTCCACTCTTGACTTTGCTATTTTCTCACTGGGCTATTTTCAAAGTTTTCTCTTCCCCACATTACACAACTTCCTGAATGCTGGAGTCACTATTTACAAATGCCAATAGTTTATTCATTTATGTGACTTGAAAATAAAGCTCTCCAGGTTAGAACTGTGTTGTGGGATTGGGGTTGGTTTGTTTGAAAACACTTTTTGTAATCTCTTTTAAAGAATCTTATAATTCCATTTTAAGAAGTTGCACAGGACAAAGGACAAACTCAACGTGTTTTTGTTTGGGTGGGAGGGATTTTTTGTGTTTTTTGTTTGTTTTTGTTTGTTTGTTTGTTTGGGGTTTGGTTGGTTTTTTTTTTTTGGGGGGGGGGAGGGGGGGGGGTGTTATGGGTTTTTTTTCCCCAAACAATATTTCCTCAGAGTCAACGAAAGCCTTGGACAGCACTAGCTATCTCTGCACCAAGGAAGAGCATATGAAAGAGGAACAATGTTTTAAAGGATGCTTCATTTCCAACTGTTAGGAAAAAAAAAGATTTTGTCTCAAGATATGAAAATTGGAAAGAGAATAAACTAAAAATGAATATAACTCACTTATTTTTTATATTAACCAGGGACAAAGAGAACTAGCACTTGTCTCTGACTCCAAAATAACACACTTTACCAGGGAGGTTTCCTCTGAGGATGAACACTGCAGAAGAACTTCATAATTCTAACCTTTGCTGTTCACCTCTTTATTTTTTAAATAACACTTGTTATACTTTAGACGTTTATACATTTCATGCATTGCTTTTGATATTACACCTTAGAATGACAGCACATTTTCTGCTTTAAATCAGGCAAGAGCAGCTGAAAGCCAGCAGCACTGATGCCCCAAAAATTCACAACTAACAAGTACAACTTCTGGATTTTCACCCTATAACACTGTTTGGACATTCACAGCCCAGCACCGAGATGTAAATTTAATCACTGAGAACACTCCAACACTCACTGCCAGGTGCTACCTACTGCCCTGCCATGCTGTCTCTCTACTTACTCATACTATCCCTCCTGCTGTCATCCTCCTTCAGCATCACTTCCTTCTGGTTGTCCTGGGTGGTCTGGCTGGAGTTCTCCTTGTCACTGGATGGAGAATCACAAGCTCCGTCAGATTTTTTTTCTGAGGCCTCTTCGTCAACTTTCTCCAGGGGATGCACTTTCACAACTTTTACAGGCAACATTTTCTCCTTACCAACCTGCACAGAAATATTGGTGAAGACTGAACTTGAACAAGACAGGTGAGCTAATGGGCTTTAACACTATGAGGAAGGGAAAAATACCAGCTAAGAGACCTAAAAGCAAAACTCCCAACTCACAGCATTTTCCAATGCTGCTTCCTCAGCCTAAGGACACAGCATGTGTACAGGGTAGCCCCAGTTTAGAGACTATGTCTTAAACGTTGCCCACACACAACATTAACTCCTCCCCATTTTCAATAAGTTGGAGTTTTCATCAACATTCCCAGTTTTGGAGGAATTTTCAAATCTTTAGGGTCTTTTTAGAGATTTTTAAGCTTTGACTTCAGGCTCCATTTGTTTCAGACTACTGCTCCTTCTGGCAATGTGTCAAGTGAAAAGATTATGACAGATGATAATCTTTAATTTCTTCTAATTAAATCATGTATTTATATATAAACAGAGCATCACATATTTAAGCAGTATAACAATTTTATCAGTTTCCCATGCACACACACATAATCAGTCATTTTTTGCTTGCTATTATTCCAGGATCCTGGAATGGTTTGAGTTGGAGGGCCCCTAAAAACCATCCAGTTCCAAGTCCCTGACATGGACAGGGACACCTTCCACCAGAAGTATGGCTTACAGAACCATTTTCCATCCAAAAGCAGGTGCTGTCACTGGGATTCTATAGAGAATAAATTCTTACATCCTTCTAATAACTTGAGTGGCTAACATATTCTTCCTGTCTCCTACCTTTAGCTATCTGGAATTAGCCCTATGCAGAAGCACAAGGTAAAACAGAAAACATATCCTTACCTCAAAGTCACACTCTTCACCCACTGCGAATTTGGTCATGATCTCCAACCAAGCTGCATCCACCAACTTTTCCAATGACACAGTGTTGTGGTGGACTATTTCCAGGACCAGTTTCTCATACCAGATAGGAAACTCCTCCTTTAAGCTGAGCAAGCATAGAAGTTTTCCTTATTCAGGGGAATAAAAGCCCAAATGCAAAGTACCCTCCCATTTCTCAATTCCAGGAATTCATGTTAACAGCCACAATGAGGCAGATGCTCCATTAGCATGCAAACATTCAAGGGTTTTTTGGTCCCCTCCTTTCCCCAGGTATTAGCTGGCATCTGGCATGAAAATCCCAAATGTCCTGGTTCTTCCCAGAAAGAATACTGTAAACACTCAGGAAGAACAGCGCTGAGTGTGAACCCTTTCATGATGGTTATTACTGTTCCTCTATTAGATATTAAATACAGATCCAGATGACGCAATTATCCTGAGGCTTGTTACTTTAAAATGCTTGTTTCCAGTAACACCATGATTCTGATAAAGATTTAGTATTTCCTTCTCCCCCAACAGGCTGCAAGTGCAGTAAAGACAGGGGCAGGTTTACACAATCATATTATCTTGCATGTTTCACAGGTCATGACCTTTAAACTTTTTCATTCAAAGAAATGAAAGGACTGTGACACTAACTTCCCTTCTTTCCCTTCTAAAAGTTGACCTCAGGAAGTTGACAGGGGGACTAAGGCATATGTTGCACAAAGCCTTCTGGCTAAAAAGTAAAGTCCGTTTCAAGTTACCATAAGGAGGAAAAAAATACTCCATTTTTCCAAAGCACTTTCATTTTCCCAAACTCCAGGATCCGTAGCTGAGAACCTTCAGCTGTATGTGCTGTGTTACAACTGCCATAAGCAAATGTATCCCTTTAGCAACCTGTCTAAATGAACTTTTTTATCCAGCTTAGTGTCAGGTATTAAAGCAGATAAACTACCTGGGAAGCTTTTCTTCCACTTTCAAAGAGACAAGACCAAAATCTCATTTTACAGAATCTTCTCACACCCCACCCCCCCCCCCCCTCCATATTAGAGAGACTACAGCTAAATTTTATTGAGAAATTTGAGAAATCTCCTGTTTCTATTTCACTGACGTTTCTTAATGTTTCCAGAAGTGGTCAATCAATCCAACATGGACAACCAAAGGAAAGTAGCAGCAGACCATTGAGTTTTGACTCAGGATTTTAAGTTTATGGAGCTGCCTTCACACCTTCCCTGCCCTCTCAAACAAGAACACCAGGGAGTAAAGCCTGAAGGCAGTAGTGTATCACCCCTCAAAGAAATTAGGACTATTAGCAAATGGGCTTCTTATTTGTTGGCTTTAAGATTGTGATTAACCCACAAATGATGGTGAATTTTTCCTTAGGAGAAGGCTGTGAACTCTGCCAATGGATCAGAAACATGAAGAGAAGCAACAGAAAATTCCACCTCTTAGGTGGTACCACTGACATTGTCCACAGTTTTTATCCTGGGGAAAAAAAAGTCACAGAAGTCCAAGTCATAAGTTGACAGAATGGAGAAATACATCACTTGTTTAGCATAATTCCTATGATTTGGTAATCATACAATAAATTATATGTGTTGGTTGAGACAAGGACTTGCACCTTTACAGAAAATTGATTTCTATGACAAGGGCCATGCTGGATCTCATCCAAGGATTCCTGTGGGCTAGAGAAGGTCAGGGCCACAGCAGCCCAGAGGAACACAATTTGCACAGAACAAGGACTCTCGTTGTTTCAAGTAGAGTAGATTCCCCAAAATCTCACTACAACTTTTTTTTAAATTAGTGCAGCAACTCTAATGCAGATCTGGAGAAAGCAATTACAGGTGCAGACCCTGGCTGATACACTTCAACTGACTCCTTTTATTCTATTTTGACTGTACATTGTTCAAGATCTGTTATTTTTCCCTCTAAAATATTCCCAACACTCCAGGGACTTTCAAATATGCCAAGTGCCCCATGCTGAACTATTTCGGTTCAAGTAATACCAAGATACAACACCAAATAAGTAAATTACCAAATTGTATTAGTGATGGTTTAAAATTTGGAGTTCATTTGCTTTTAACTCCAGAATCCCCAGATCTCCTTACAGCTCCTTACCTCACCTCACAGACTAGCCACACATTCCCAAGCTCACTCTTACACCCCAACACCTAAAGATAGGCACAAACCCACATCTCCACCAGTACTTACAGCTCAGCAACCTCCTGCTCCTCTTCCCAAGCCTCTTTGTGTGTCAGCTGGCTGCTTCCTGTGCTCTTGCACGTCCAGATCCGCTCGCTGTATCGCTCTAAACGTGCTTCGTACTCTCTGTATGAGGGGCAGCTCAGGAAAACAGGATTTATGCAGTGGAAACCACAATCACCATAGCACAAACCACTAAAATCTAATTAATTCTTATGACTGGAGTGTACAAAGGCTAAGGAGAGCCTCAACACAGTCTGACCCTGTGACTACCATGAGGATGCTGCGCTAAATCAAATGTGCTGGTGCTTTCTGAGGCCAAAATGCCTGTCCTGCTCATCCTGGCACAAAAGGTTCCACACCACCAATAGCTCAGCTGCACTGCACAAGGGGAACACAGATGGCTGAAGGTTTCACAGCATTGCTAACTTACTTTTCAGCTCTTCTGGGCTGATACACTAGAAAACAGCACAACCAATGTCACAGGCACGTGCAGGAGGTACAGCATGGATTGCTGCTAAATTCCCGGCAATAACTGTTGTGGCACTGCTACTACTAATGCCTTATGGTTGTGTTACAAAATCCAGATGCAAAGTACCAGGCTACCCATCACCCCCAATCTTTCGACAAAAGAAAAAAACAACCTAAACTATTTGAAACTGAAACCCCTAGAAAGGCCATTTTTTTCCTTTGGTTTCCAAAAATATCGGCCTTCTGCATTCCAAAATGAGGAGCTCTCTCACCAACTACATCACTTCCTTCATGGAATCACAGAATCCCAGAATGGTTTGGGTCAGAAGGGACATTAAAGTCGATCTTGCTCCATCCCCCTGTCATGGGCAGGGACTAGACTAGGTTGCTTCAAGCCCTGTCCAATCTCACCGTGAACACTTCCAAAGCTTCTCTAGACAATCTATGGAGCTCACCATCCACACAGCAAAGAACTTCTTCCTAATATCTAATCCAAACCTACTGTCTTTTAATTTGAAACCATTCCCACTTGTCCTGTCACTTTATGCTCTTGTAAAAAGTCCCTCTCTGTCTTTCTTGTTTGCTCGTTTCAGGTGCTGACACTCCTGTGTCACAACCTCCCTCAAAGTTATGTTATTCCAGGTGGAATGAGATGATTGAAGGGTGCCCGGGCAAGCCATCGGGGTGCAGAGAGCAATAGCTACTCTGCTGTGAGCATCTTTGGCTGCTCTCCCTGCTCCGCCTGAGTGGTAATTAATAGTCAGGGTAAACAGAGAGCAGCTACTTCACGCTCACTATGGACAGAGGATGCACAGGCACAATTATCAGTGTGGTGTAAATCCACACCAATTGCCCCATGATCAATGCCACATGCCTTCTAATGGGAAGTTACGAGGAGAAGTTCTAAGAGAGGTAAGAAAAGCACCTTCTGCTTCTCCTGCATATGCCCTCCGGTGGCAAAGCCAGCATGAAGCATAAGGCACACTGGGTACAGCCACAGCTCAGCCCACTGCCGCACCAGCACTGATTTGCAGAGTCTTGTGGGAACAGCAGATTGCTCTACACTCTTGCACACGCAGAGCCACCAGCCACAGAAAAGCACTCAGTGTGTCTCACACCTTTTGCCATTCAAGAACATTGTAGTGTGACCAACCTATTTCTTTCTCTTTTTTAAGATTCCTATTAGGAATTACAACTCCATCAAAGCAAATTTCCTTAAATGTTTCCTCACAGCCCCAAGGTAAAGTATAATAAGATACAGCAGCTGCATTATGGGTGTCGATGTACAGGTAACTTGCAGACATAGCAATCTTGCCCCGCGATCAATGCAAGGATATTAACCAGGCACTATGCAAGGATATTAACCAGGAAGAGAGTCAACTCCAGAAGTCTGCCCCAGTACTCCCTTTTCCTGAAGCACACTGCAAACTCTGGCAGAAACCCTGCGGTCTCTCAGCTTGTCCTACTTGTGGAGTCTCCTGCTCCTCAGCAGAAGAAAGGACCTGACAATTCATCACCCTACTATGGTTCGAGCCCTCTGGTCCATTCTTACCCTCCTTGGGGTTTAAAAGATGCTAAATTTTTCACAGAAACAAGAGATTCTGTGCTTCAGGGGCAGGAAGTGTGATCACTGTGGTGGAGCAAGCAAAAATCACAGCTCATCTGCAAAGCTCCACTGACCAGCCCAGGAGTGCCACTGTGATGCCTGTTGTAGTGATACTGAGCTAGGAGAGAAAAAATATAAAAAATTAAATCAAACAAGAAACCAGGAATTCTCTTTGAATTTACAGCAACTTGAGACTGGAACAGGCTGCCCAGAGTAGCTATGGCTGCCCCATCCCTGGGGCCAGGTTGGATAGGTCTTGGAGCACCCTGGTCTAGTGAAAGGTGTCCCTGCCCACGGCAGGGAGTGGAACAAGATGAGCTTTAAGATCCCTTCCAACCCAAACCATTCTGAGATTCTATGATTCAATAATCACTTTAATAATGACTAAGTTGCAACCATAATACTATTTATTCCTGTGCCTTTCCCACTAAGAACAGCCTTAAAACCAAATCCAATCATCACAGCAGACAGGAGCTCAAATGCAGGAGCAGCAGCCATCTTCAGCTTCATCCTGCTGCAATGCCTCTGCATTCTTCCCTTGGTTTCCTTCTGTGTATCTGTGGAATAACTGAATGACACATTTTTTCCCCTAACATCATTTCCCATATCAGTAGGGAGATCCAAGAGACTTTTCCATATGAATGTTCCACTCCTTATACACACCTATGAGAAAAGGCTTAACCTCACCATATCAGGACTCACATATGCCAGACAAGCCTGGAATTTAAAAGTGACAGATAGGGTCATTCCCTGTTCAGCTCAGATCTGCCTCTTCCATGAAACTTAATTCCACCTCCAGCTGGTCAGCTCATCTAACACTGACGCTGGACACACTCCTTATCCGGGGCTCCCGACTTGTCCCACAGTACCGACCCTGCCTTTGTGCTCTGCCAAGAGCTCCAGGTCAGGTCCTGCTTTGAATTCCTGGCGCCAGCACAAAGCCAAAATGCAGGAGGATGTTTCTGCAAAGTTTACTATAGCTCAAACTTTCCACCACATATATGCTGTTTGTCTTTTCCACTCAGACTGGAAACAAACCCAAGAAATTTCAGATTGTTCAGCAGGTCTGATCTAGGACTGCAAGTCACCATTGCCCCTGGTATGCCATAATCAACCCACCTCTCTACACAACTGGAGCCTCCACTGCCAAAAATTTCCAACACAGGAATAAATAAAATCCTGGACACAAGCTACTTGTGAACACTGCCCAAAAAGCTATGAATAACATCTATATTAAATTAAACAGCTGACTATCCACTGTGCAGCTGTTAATACATCACATCTGTTTGCATCCCACTGCAGATCACCCAATGCTGAAAGATGTCAAAATTAAAGTACAAACAAAATTACAGTAGAAAAAAGGGACCTTTTTAAAGAAAGATGTTTAAAAGTAACCAAGCTAACCACTGCACAAAACAACTGCTGAAGGAATAAAACGTTTACTTTTCCCTCAGTTACTAATTTCTGGGACAGCATGAATATCAACTTCAAAAAAGTTTTACTCCATCTGAATTGTTTGCACTTATATTAGCCAAGAAGGTAAACTCCCTAGAAATGTGGGTACATTTATAAGGTGCTACTCCCTGGATGTGTGGCAAAGTTCTTCTTGCAATTGAAGAGCGTGACACAACAGTGTCTTTGTGCTGCCACCTTCCAGGTAGAGTTTGTCAGGCCAGTATCACATGTGAGGATGAGAGCAGCAGCCTTTAACCTGCCAAACCCTTCTTCTTCCCTGCGCTGATACCATATGAAAGTATGAACTAAAGAAAGACAGCAGGCTTTTATCCAGAGAGGAGACAACACAGCATCCCAAAACCATGCACTGGAAGCTGGGGCAAAGCTTTGGCTGGAACAGGTCAGGCCGGCTGAGCTCTCTGAACCCAGCTTATCTCCTGATCCGGCAGCAGTTTTCCAAACCATGTTGCAGCAGACCCACATGCCCACAGCTGAGCTGACTGTTCACCAGGGTACACACTGGGTATTTGGGAGTCTGCAAATACTCAGCACCCACTGCACTGGCAACAGCGCTGTACACATCCAAAGCATTGTCCTGACACTTCAGGTAGCTCAGAGCAGACCCCACTGAGCTCCTGCAGGGATGAGTTTATCCCTGGCTGCCCCACGATCTGCCATCCCCACACCCAGACAATTAGCAGGACCCAAGGCTTTGCCAGGATGCAAAGGGCTCTACACAGCAGGACTGCTCTTATAAGGTTTTTGCAGCATTTGGCAGTCAAAGGAAACCACATAAAGCTACAAATAAGGCCAAACAAACACCTCAACTCCGCTGACCAGCTAATTCCACTCCCACTGCTACCAAACACTTCCATAACACACACCCAAGGGGAAGATGTCTCTCCTCATGCACGCCACCACAGCCTCCATTTTTTGTGTGACCCAATCTGCTGCAGCTGCAAATCTTAACAACAACAAAAAAAAAGCTTTAAGAAATTTTGGTGTCCTTCAAACGCCTCACTTGTAGCTGTGCAGTACAAGACCTTGCACAGTCTTTAGGGGAAGAGCTGATCAATAATTTTCCAAGATAGAAAACAATTCAGGAGAATATATTCTGTCAGGTCTTGGCATAAATAACACTGGGTGAAAACTCAGGTACCTCCTGGCACACTCTTAGTAGGCTCTCCCATCTACCAGAGCCACTCCTCCTCAACACTATCTAGGATAAATGAAAGTGACCAAAAAAGCCCTCCAAGTCTTCCTTGGGTAACATCTCCCTCCAGCTCACTGTCTCATTTGCAATTTTCTGTTCCACTTTTGGCCTAGCATATATTATACACCGTCAACAAGGCAAAGCAGAAACCCAACATTGCTTGGTTTCTCTTTTTAGCCTCATGACGTCTGTCTGCCAAGATGAACTTTCTAGAACATGCTAGGCTGCCTCCCACAGCACCCCATGAAATACTTCCTCCAGGAAAAGAGCACCTCTCCAGAACCTCAGTGCTTGCCTTGGTTTCTTCTTTCCTTCTAATCCTACAGCTAACATCCTCCCCTCTCAGGATGAGAAACTATCTTTTTTCTCCCCTTAATTTTAATACCACCCAAGTGTTTGCAGAAACGTGTCCTCCACCTACTCGCTCGATCCACAAGAGCCACCCAACAAAATGGTGCTTTCAAAAGGAGCCCCAGAGCTCCCCTGTGCTGTTTCGACAAGGCAGATGGCCCTTAAAGCCACGTCTTCTTTTATAAAAGTAGTATTTAGACCTAAAGTCATCTTTTTGATCACTGATCACTCCTCACAGGTAAAAAGATAGAACTGCCTGGTCAGGTGGATGACTGAGCTACTTTCACTTTGCACACACCAAAAGAGCAGGTTGGCATCACAGACTGCATGTTTTAATTTGAAACACAGTTAAAAAGCATGTCTCCAACACTCCACCTAACTTGTTTTACTGGGCTACGTTATAATTTTTTATAATATTTTACTGAGTACACTATAACAATGCCTACCTGCACTCAAGAGATGCATTTCCTCTTCAAAGGCCACCTAATCCTTCCTAGGGGCTTCCTCTGCCTGTTCTGCTCACTGCAGAAACAAGACACTCTTCAATACAGGGGATATGGAAGTTCTGGAGCCCCTTTGTCTTCCACACTGCCAACACCTCCTTCCCATATCCATGCATTCCCTCTCACTTAGAGCCCTTCCTTAGTTCTCAACTCAGATCCTGATTTTTATTACACAAACACCAACCCAGCCTTCTGAAGCTGCAAGTCTGCACGTTAGAGCGCCGAGGTCCTGCCCCTTCAGCCCTGCTGCGGACTTAGTCAGTAACTCTGCTGCCGCGCAGCTCTGTCAGTCACCAGTCTGGCCTACGGCCACTTCCTGCGATCACAGGCTGTCACACGCAGAGAAAAAAAATAATTAAAAAATTGGTTTTTATGCAAAAGCAGCCCCGGAAGAGATACGCTCGGAACGAAAGCCTGGGATGTACACAGCGAGAGCTCCTGCCGCTGTTTAATTCCCTAGAAATTAAGGAGTGCGGAAGCCTCCGGTGCCAGTGTGCTCCTGGCCCGCGGGAGTGCGTGAATTGCTCTGATAGCCCGCTCTGACGGTCCCGGGTCCCCGTTAGCTCCGCTCCAGCCCCGCGGAGCTGCTGTCCCACTTCCCCCGCCCGCCTGGAACAGGCTCCGGAACTCCTCAGGGAACAACGACCCCGCCGAGCCCAGGGCAGCGCCCGCCAAGCTCTCCTCACGGTCCCGCTACCCGCCCGACCCCATCACCGCTTTGTTCGGTTCCACGGCCCCGGGACCCGCCCCGGCCCCCCCGCGCCCCGGTGTGGCGGATACTCGCGGGTGCGGAAGGCCTCCTGCGTGTGGGGGATGACGAACAGTTCGCCCGGCTCTCCCGGCGGCAATGGCTTAGCCAGCGGGAACGGCTTGCGGCCGAGTAGCGGCGCCATGGTGAGACCCGACGGGGCCCGGGCGGGACGGTTGAAAAATGGCGGGAGATTCCGCTCCCCCTCACGGCGGGCGGCGGGACCGGCCCCGCGCGCGCGCCCCGACCCTGCCGCCCCGCCCCGCAGCGCCCACCCCCCGCGCCGCGGTGCCGACAGTCTATTGGCTAGGCGCCCGCTCCGCCAGCTGCGGATTGGTCTCACGGCCTGTCGATCGTGCTGCCTCGCCCCGCCCCGCCGGCGGGGCGGGGTGAGAGGTCGCGTTATGTAAGTGGCAGCGCAGCGCACGGCTCCATTTTGTAGCCCCCCGTTATCCTCCCTCCCCCCCTGCCGCGCGACGACCAATCACAAGGCACTCCGCCCCCTCTAGCCCCGTGACCACCAATCAGAGCGCGTTCCGGCCACCGCCCCGCCTCGCGCCCATCCGGGTACTCCTGCGAGGACGCGCGCTGGGCTTTGTCCTCCGCGTCTGGCGCGGGGCATTGTGGGGGCTTGTGTGGCGGGCGCAGCCGCTCTCGTAGGAAGCCCCGGGCTGGGCCCGCCGGTGCGGACTCTCAGCGGCCCCTTAGCGCCGGGTCCCTCCGCTCCGCGGGGAGGTGGAGCAGTGGCCTCCGGAGCGGATGAGGTTGAAGAAGAGGCAGGAGCTGCGGCCTGTTGGGACAGTGGGGAGGGAGGCTGGGCCACCCCTTGGATGCTGCTCCTGGGAACGGAGGAAAGACAAAAATTCGAGAGTTGTGGGTTGGGTTTTGTGGGTTTATGGTTTTATTTTTCTTGATAGGAAATGTGTGGAGAGATTTTGTGGCATGAACATTTACTGGGGATTGGAGGGGCAGTAGCTTGAGCATTGCCTGCCTAAAGCAGTCAAAGCAGAAGCTGTGATCTTATAGCTCTTTCCAAGGGATTGGAAAGAAGATTTGTGTTTACTGTGCAAATACATTATAGGGGTCCTGGGTTTGTGCTGTTCATGGCACTGAAGACTAGGTCTGCTTTTTACAGCCCTATCGTGGCTGCTTCAGGATGAGAAGCAGCAGCCCTGGAAAACTGCTTAGAATCATAGAATCCCACAATGGCTTGTGTTGGAAGGGACCTTAAAGATCATCTTGTTCCAACTCCTGCCATGGGCAGGGATCCCTTCCACTAGACCGAGCTGCTCCAAGTCCTGTTCAACCTTGCCTTGGACACTCCCAAAGATAGAGCAGCCACAGCTTCTCTGGGCAACTTGTGCCAGGGCCTCACCATTCTCACAGGGAAGAATTTTTTCCCAATACCCAATCTAACCATGCACTATGTCAGGCAGATGGACACTCAGATTACCCCCTGCCTGTAAAGGGCTGTTTATGCTGGGTGATTTGGCCCAAGGGAATGTATGAACTGGGACCAGTTCTGCTCTGGAGCAAAAGAATTAATGGTATCGTTCATTTCCCTAGAAGACAGGAGAGTAAGTGGATCTCACGCAGTATTCTCCAGATTGTAGATGTAATAATCAGATTATTATTAGTTTACTAGATTGCTTTATAGGAATGAGGATCCCGTAATTTCTGCTGGTGAGGTATTTAAATCATTTAACTTCCCTGGGTGCACACTCATTTGATGTGTTGTGTAATTCTGGGGAGAAGTTTGGGCTGTAAGTATCCCTGGAACACAGCAGTTGCATAATGGAACACAGAGTACAGTGTCTGCTGGAATCAGAAGTCCAGTGTATTTTCCACAGCATTGTAAACAGGCAGGAAAGAAGGGTAATGCTGTAACATAAGCGTTCACTCTTTCTTTATTGTTGTTGCTACTAATAGTAGTATTCTGCAATGGAACAGGTTCCCAGTGAAGTTATGCCCCATCCCTAGAAGTGTCCAAGGCTGGGCTGCACAGGGCTTGGAGCAACCTGGTCTAGTGAAAGGTGTCCCTGTCCATTATTTGGATGGAACAAGATGGTCTTCAACGTCCCTTCTAGCCTATCCCCTCACATGATTCTATGATTCTATTTAGTACCAGAACAGATATGTATTGCCATAAATCCATCAGTGAGTGTAAGAATGGTTGTTGAGAATTCCCATTACCACTGTAAGGGGCTCTAAGAGTTGCTTGAAAGCACAGTCAGCTCACAGCCAGTGAAACAGGTTCTTGTGGGACTTCACATGGAGCTTGGCTTCCTTCCACGTTATTTTGTCAGAAATTAGAGCTTGTCGGAACCCAGGAAATTCCTCTGGCTGCCCTGGAGGACTCAAGCCCCTGTCTGGGGCTTAGAGACCTTGGCACAGAGCCCAAGACCCCTGTGCCTTTGATTTAGCCCTTGGAAAAAACAATTCCCAACCTTATATGAAGAATTACAAGCCACGACAGTTTAAGTAGAATGATAGTGAATTTATCACAGGGTGAAAAAATAGATTTTTTTGAGTTTTTAGAATAGGGGTTCAGGGAGCAAGATGGAGGAATCTGGGCACATCCAGCCTTTCTCTTTCTTCTTGTCTTCCATCTTCTGCTGTGATGTTGGCACTTTTAGATTGGTTTAGAGTAGAAGTTCACTGTCTAACATAGGTGATAGGTATTGGAAAGTAATTGTAAATATTGTATACATAGTTTTTAGTATAAAAAGATAACACCGCCCGGGGGCAGACAGAGTGCCTCTGACTGTCTTGCTGAGCAGATCTCAGCAGGTCAGGAGAAAGAATTTTATAGATAAGATACAATAAACAACCTTGAGACCAAGAAATTAAGAGTTCTGACTCCTTCTTCAACCCTGGGCTGGGAAAAGAGACTTTCTGACCAGCTAGAGACCCCAAGAGAGCTGAAATTCTACGTGGTATATGTCTGCCTCTCTGGGCTGCAGGGCAAAGTGGGGAGGAGAAGGAAGACAAGTGTAATGAACTGAGGGAGAATGGGGAGCAGATACAGACCTGTGGAGCAGTACAATGTGGGAAGAACATGCTTAGCTGAAAGGCGGTGTTGAGTGAATATGGCCACTCTGTAGCTCTGACACTGTGGGGACACATCAGAGGTCTGACCCTGGGGAATGGCAGCATGTAGGGAGGGGGGCAGCAGGCACAGGGCTAGTTCTTGGACAGGGAGCAGCCTCAGAGGAGCTGGAGGCAGGGCAAGGAGCTGAGGGAGGCAGAACCACAGGGAGGGATGGGAGGGTGAAGTGCCTGTCCCTGCACATCCACCGTGGAGCCATGTGCCTGTTCCTCCATAGCAAACCACTGGGATCTGAGGCATGGCAACCTTCCAGTGCTGGTACAGGACTGGTCAAGGTCTGGTGTCCCCCAGTCATTTTTCAAGCTGGGAAATTGTATGTAGTTCCTGGCACAGGTTAAACATGCACTGACCTGAGAGCTGTTCATTGACCCTGCAGCTGCTTGCTGAGGCACACAAAGGTTGGGTTTCTCTTCATGGGTGGTACCTGCCTGTAGCAGCAGCTTCTTAGCCTCAAGAGCTCTGAGTTACTCTAGGATGGTTTTCCACGGCTGTTGTATACTGTCTGCCAGCGCCCAGGAGGTGGCACTCCTGCATTTGGACAGTGTGTGCAGCTGTTCTCCAGACACACCAGAGGTTGTCTGAAGAGGAAAATTCCATCATCATCCCTACTGGTTTGGTTCTGCTAGGGAGGGAAGTGGCCACATTTGCATGGTCTGGTGATATGTCCTGTTCTGGGAGATACCAAAGCTGGAGTGGTGAGCTGTAAGAACAGTCTCTGCTGAGCAGGCAGGCATTCCTGGGTGTGTTTTGATGGCAGAAACTCCAGCAATGGGTTGGTGTCACTGTCAAATGAAAGCATCCTTATGAGGATGGAGCCTGCTGTCATGAAGCCTTACCACTGGCTGCCTCTTCTCAGCCATGGCTGGTACCTTTAGCATTCCAGCTGGGAGCACATGATGGAAATCACCATTGGACCCCCTGCTCCTCACAGCCTTTAACTGCTCTTGCCCCTCCCCTCAGTCCCCATCTTCCCTCGCCTTCATGAGCACTGGCCATGGAGGAAATAAAAGCATTTGGACTCACTTGAAATAACCTTCCACTCCTGTTAAACGCTGGTGGAACTAAGTGGATTTATCTGAATGAGTTGAATGTAGGTAGGAGGTGAAGTTGTGACCCTGGGGAGGTTCTCAGATTTTCCCTCTTCAGAAACAAAAGCAGATTTGCAAGTCTGGTACATGCGTGTTTAGAGAGCAAGACAGTTTGTGACCCAGAGGAGCAAGGAGCTGGTGAGTGGTGGGAGAGGTGACACAGGGGTCTGTCCAGACTGGCCATGCTGCTGGTCTGACTCTTGCCTGGCCTGAGGGCACCTGAGGAGGTACTGCATTGATGCTGTTCCTAGCAGCTTCCAAGCACACTTGGTGTTTGACCTGGTGGTTTGCAAAGCCCTTCTCTGGGTCATGGACTTGCTCTGTACGGACACAGGAAGGAGTCAATGTGCCTAATCTCTGGGCACAGCGTCCTGCTGATCTGTCAGCTGCTCTTGTGATCTCTGCTTGAAAACTGTCTCCTCTTACGTTCCTACACCTTCAAGCAATTTCTCAATTTCCCCATCCTTCCCATGGCAATCCAGACTTCCCAGTTACTGCTCCTCTGGGCTGGTGAACCAGCAGAAGCCAACTCTGCCCCAAGTGCTCCAAGGTCAGTTTGATCCTAAATGTGATTTTGGCCACGTGGATCATAACATGCCTCTCCCCTCACCCCAGGTAGCTGCCAGGATCCAAAATCAGGGATTGCCCTCACCCCAGTGCCTGCTGGACTACACAGTCCTGGACTACTCAGTGCCAGCTGTCTGGACATTGTGCTGGCAAGGGCCTCCATAAATAACACAGGATTTGGGAGCAGGACACAGCTCTGAGTGGGTGGCCAAGGATGCCACCCTGCTGTCACCACTGATGCTCCCCAGAGGGGAGCTCCCACAGGGCTTTGCATTTGGAGCTGCAAGTAGCCTTGTGTCTTTCAGAGAAAAAGGAGAGAGCTGTTTAATCCTGGAGGAGCTGGAAGAGCCACAAAGGGGGGATTTCAGGGAGGATTTCGTTAGAAATGGTCCAGATACATCAAACTATCTCCTGCATGAAGCCATACCCCATTACTGCTTCTATGTGCGGGACAGCTTACAGTACTTATTCTATTAAGAGCCTG